TAAGGGAAATAGACCTTGACATTTGGGAGTTGTAGTTGCTGGGATTTATAGTTCACCTACAATCAAAGAGCATTCTGAACTCCACCAATGATGGAATTGAACCAAACATGGCGTACAGGACTTCCAAGACCAACAGAACACACTGGAAGGGTTTGGTGGGCATTGACCTTGAGTTTGGGAGTTGTAGTTCACCTACATCCAGAGAGCACTGTGGACTCAAACAATGATGGATCTGGACCAAACTTGCACAGATACTCAATATGCCCAAATGTGAACACTGGTGGAGTTTGGGGAAAATAGAATCTTGACATTTGGGAGTTGTAGTTGCTGGGATTTGTAGTTCTACCTACAATCACAGAGCATTCTGAACCCCACCAACAATAGAATTGGACCAAACCTCCCACACAGAACCCCCATAAGGGCCACAGCAACGCGTGGCAGGGGACGGGTAGTCTATATAAATAAAACTGTAATGTTTGTTCGTGGGATTAACATAAATAAAAAACCACTGGATGAATTGGCACCGAATTTGTGCAGCGTACACCTAACAAGCCAATGTATTTCCTTCACTCATTTTTTTTTATTTTCTCATTTAGGAGTTGTAGTTGCTGGGGTTTATAGTTCTCCTACAATCAAAGAGCATTCTGAACTCCACCAATGATGGAATTGAACCAAAACATGGCACACAGGACTCCCATAACAACAGAAAACACTAGAAGGATTTGGTGGGCATTGACCTTGAGTTTGGGAGTTGTAGTTCACCTACATCCAGAGAGCACTGTGGACTCAAACAATGATGGATCTGGACCAAACTTGGCACACGAGATCCAACTGTTAATTGACAAGAAAAGGAAAGCCTTCCAAACATGGCAGAGAGACACTATCTGTGCTAATGCAATAACTGAGATCCAAAGAAGGACAAGAGAACTCAAGAACATCTGGTGGACAAAGAATGCTGAAGAAATCCAACACCGGACAGATACCCATGATGCTCAGGGATTTTTCAAAGCCACAAAGGTCATCTATGGACCAAGAAACCATGGCATACAGCCTCTACGCTCATCAGATGGAACCAAACTCCTGAAGGACCAAAAGTCAATTGCACTACGTTGGAAAGAACACTACCAAAGCCTCCTGAACCGCAGCTCCAATGTGGCCGAAGAGGTCCTCTCACAAATCCCACAACAACAAACCAGGGATGAGCTTGCAGCACTGCCTAGTTTGGAAGAAGTCAGCAATGCCATCAGCCAACAAAAAAATAACAAAGCCAGCGGACCTGATGGGATCCCTGCTGAAATCTTTAAAGAGGGAGGACCTGAGCTGACACAACAACTCCACCAGCTCATAGAAAAAGTGTGGGTGACCAAGAAAATCCCAGCAGATTTCAAGGATGCCACCATCATCACCCTCTTCAAAAAAGGGGAAAGAACAGACTGCGGAAACTATCGAGGTATCTCCCTTCTAACCTCCGCTGGGAAAATCCTCGCAAGAATCCTTGCAAACCGCCTTCTGCCCCTCTCAGAAGACACCCTCCCAGAATCCCAGAACGGCTTCCGCCCCTCCAGAGGAACCGTGGACATGATCTTCACTGCACGACAGCTCCAAGAAAAATGCAGGAACAAAACCAACCTCTGTCCATGGCATTCATCGACCTTGCAAAGGCATTCGACACAGTGAACCGCAGCGCTCTCTGGACCATCCTCCAAAAATCGGGTGCCCAAGCAAATTTGTGAACATCCTGCGGCTCCTCCATGATGACATGATGGCAACAGTCTTGGACAGCAATGGCTCCCAAAGTGACCCATTTAAGGTGGAATCAGGTGTCAAACAGGGATGTGTTATTGCCCCAACTTTATTCTCCATCTTCATCGCTATGATACTTCACCTTGTTGATGGGAAGCTTCCCTCCGGAGTGGAAATCATCTATCGGACAGATGGCAAGCTGTTTAACCTCAGCAGACTGAAAGCCAAAACCAAGGTTACAACAACATTTGTTATAGAACTCCAGTATGCTGATGACAACGTCGTCTGTGCGCATTCAGAAGACCTACAAGCCACTCTAAACACCTTCGCAGAAGCATACAAGAAGCTCGGCCTGTCACTGAACATCGAGAAAACCAAAGTGCTCTTCCAGCAGTCACCAGCCATCCCCTCCCCAATGCCAGAGATACAGCTTAATGGTGTAATATTAGAAAATGTGGACCATTTCCACTCCCTTGGCAGCCACCTCTCCAGAAAAGTCAACATTGACACTGAAATACAACACTGCCTGAGCTCTGCGAGAGCAGCATTCTTCCAAATGAAGCAGAGAGTGTTTGAGGACCGGGACATCCGTAGGGAGACTAAGCTATTGTCCTCCCAACCCTGTTCTACGCCTGCGAAATGTGGACTGACTACAGATGTCAACATTGATACTGAAATACAACACCGTCTGTCTCTGAGAGTGCAGCTTTTTTCCAAATGAACCAGAGAGTGTTTGAGGACCGGGACATCCAGGTAGAGATACCAAGGTGCTTGTTTATAAAGCTATTGTTCTCCCAACCCTGCTATATGCTTGCGAGACGTGGACTGTCTACAGACGTCACATGCAACTCCTGGAATGATTCCATCAGCGCTGCCTCCGGAAAATCCTGCAAATCTCTTGGGAAGACAAGCGGACAAATGTCAGCGTGCTGGAAGAAGCAAAGACCACCAGCATTGAAGCGATGGTCCTCCACCATCAACTCCGCTGGACCGGCCACGTTGTCTGGATGCCTGACCACTGTCTCCCAAAGCAGTTGCTCTACTCTGAACTCAAGAATGGAAAACGGAATGTTGGTGGACAGGAAAAGAGATTGAAAGATGGGCTCAAAGCCAACCTTAAAAACTCTGGCATAGACACTGAGAACTGGGAAGCCCTGGCCCTTGAGCGCTCCAGCTGGAGGTCAGCTGTGACCAGCAGTGCTGCAGAATTTGAAGCGGCACGAATGGAGGGCGAAAGAGAGAAACATGCCAAGAGAAAGGCGCGTCAAGCCAACCCCGACAGGGACCGCCTTCCACCTGGAAACCAATGCCCTCACTGTGGGAGAAGATGCAGGTCAAGAATAGGGCTCCACAGTCACCTACGGACCCACCACCAGGATACTACACTTGGAGGACCATCATCCTCGGACTACGAGGGATCGTGTAAGTAAATAAGTAAGTGTATATGTGTGTGTGTATATATATGTGTGTGTGTGTTTGTGTGTTTATATGTGTACATGCATATTGTGTATATGTGTGTGCTTGTGTGTGATTTTTCTCTGTATTATTTTTATTATATTTTTATGCTTTACTTATCCTATTGTGATGTTTACTTCATGCTTTTGTGTTATGTTGTTGTTATGTTATTGTAATTCTACTACCGGGCTTGGCCTCATGTAAGTAACCCCGAGTCCCATTCGGGGAGATGGTGGCGGGGTATAAATAAAGATGATGATTATTATATGCATATTTGTGTGTATATATGTGGATATGTGTGCATGTGTATATGTATTTCATCACTGTATTGTCGAAGGCTTTCATGGCCGGAATCACTGGGTTGTTGTAGGTTTTTTTCGGGCTATATGGCCATGTTCTAGATGCATTCTCTCCTGACATTTCGCCTGCATCTATGGCAAGCATCCTCAGAGGTAGAGATTTCGTTGGTATCTTGTCACTATCGCTCACATTTAGATATTGAGAGGATCCTATTAATTTCGTTACTATCGATCACATTGAGATATTGATGTGATCCTATATTATTTCGTCACTATCGATCACATTTAGATATTGAGAGGATTGTATAAATTTCGTCACTATCTATCACATTCAGATATTGAAATGATCCTATGCATATTATTTCGTCACTATTGATCACATTTAGATATTGAGAGGATCCTATTAATTTCGTTACTATTGATCACATTGAGATATTGATGTGATCCTATATTATTTCGTCACTATCTATCACATTGAGATATTGAGATGATCCTATGCATATTATTTCGTCACTATCGCTCACATTTAGATATTGAGAGGATCCTATTAATTTCGTTACTATCGATCACATTGAGATATTGATGTGATCCTATGCATAGTATTTCGTCACTATTGATCACATTTAGATATTGAGAGGATCCTATTAATTTCGTTACTATTGATCACATTGAGATATTGATGTGATCCTATATTATTTCGTCACTATCTATCACATTTAGATATTGAGATGATCCTATTAATTTCGTTACTATTGATCACATTCAGATATTGAGATGACCCTATGAGTATTATTTCGTCACTATCGCTCACATTTAGATATTGAGAGGATCCTATTAATTTCGTTACTATTGATCACATTGAGATATTGATGTGATCCTATATTATTTCGTCACTATCTATCACATTGAGATATTGAGATGATCCTATGCATATTATTTCGTCACTATCGCTCACATTCAGATATTGAGGTGATCCTACGCATATTATTTTGTCACTATTGAGCACATTTAGATATTGAGAGGATCCTATTAATATTATTTCGTTACTATTGATCACAGTCAGATATTGAGAATCATAGAATCCTAGAGTTGGAAGAGAACTCATGAGCCATCCAGTCCAACCCCCTGCCAAGAAGCAGGAATATTGCATTCAAATCACCCCTGACAGATGGCCATCCAGCCTCTGTTTAAAAGCTTCCAAAGAAGAAGCCTCCACCACACTCGGGGGCAGAGAGTTCCACTGCTGAACGGCTCTCACAGTCAGGAAGTTCTTCCTCATGTTCAGATGGAATCTCCTTTCTTGTAGTTTGAAGCCATTGTTCCGCGTCCTAGTCTCCAAGGAAGCAGAAAACAAGCTTGCTCCCTTCTCCCTGTGGCTTCCTCTCACATATTTATACATGGCCATTATCTCCTCTCAGCCTTCCCTTCTTCAGGCTAAACATGGCCAGCTCCTTAAGCCACTCCTCATAGGGCTTGTTCTCCAGACCCTTGATCATTTTAGTCACCCTTCTCTGGACACATTCCAGCTTGTCAATATCTCTCTTGAATTGAATTGAATTATTATTCGTTCCTATCGATGACATTCAGATGATGAGATGATTCTGTGCATATTACTTCGTCACTATTGATCACATTTAGATATTGAGAGGATCCTATTAATGTTATTTCGTCACGATCACATTCAGATATTGAAATGATCTTGTAATAATAATAATAATGATAATAATACTATTCAGATATTGAAATGATCTTGTAATAATAATAATATTCAGATATTGAAATGATCTTGTAATAATAATAATAATAATATTCAGATATTGAAATGATCTTGTATTAATAATAATATTCAGATATTGAAATGATCTTGTAATAATAATAATAATAATAATAATCAGATACTGAAATGATCTTGTAATAATAATAATAATAATAATATTCAGATATTGAAATGATCTTGTAATAATAATAATGATAATATTCAGATATTGAAATGATCTTGTAATAATAATAATGATGATAATATTCAGATATTGAAATGATCTTGTAATAATAATAATGATGATAATATTCAGATATTGAAATGATCTTGTAATAATAATAATAATAATAATAATATTCAGATATTGAAATGATCTTGTAATAATAATAATAATAATAATATTCAGATATTGAAATGATCTTGTAATAATAATAATAATAATATTCAGATATTGAAATGATCTTGTAATAATAATAATAATAATATTCAGATATTGAAATGATCTTGTAATAATAATAATAATAATAATATTCAGATATTGAAATGATCTTGTAATAATAATAATAATATTCAGATATTGAAATGATCTTGTAATAATAATAATGATGATAATATTCAGATATTGAAATGATCTTGTAATAATAATAATAATGATAATAATATTCAGATATTGAAATGATCTTGTAATAATAATAATGATGATAATATTCAGATACTGAAATGATCTTGTAATAATAATAATTATGATAATATTCAGATATTGAAATGATCTTGTAATAATAATAATAATAATAATATTCAGATATTGAAATGATCTTGTAATAATAATAATGATAATATTCAGATATTGAAATGATCTTGTAATAATAATAATAATGATGATAATATTCAGATATTGAAATGATCTTGTAATAATAATAATAATATGATAATATTCAGATATTGAAATGATCTTGTAATAATAATAATTATGATAATATTCAGATATTGAAATGATCTTGTAATAATAATAATATTCAGATATTGAAATGATCTTGTAATAATAATAATAATATTCAGATATTGAAATGATCTTGTAATAATAATAATAATAATGATAATATTCAGATATTGAAATGATCTTGTAATAATAATAATAATAATATTCAGATATTGAAATGATCCTGTAATAATAATAATGATAATAATATTCAGATATTGAAATGATCTTGTAATAATAATAATAATAATAATATTCAGATATTGAAATGATCTTGTAATAATTATAATAAAATAATATTCAGATATTGAAATGATCTTGTAATAATAATGATAATAATAATAATATTCAGATACTGAAATGATCTTGTAATAATAATAATAATAATATTCAGATACTGAAATGATCTTGTAATAATTATAATAAAATAATATTCAGATATTGAAATGATCTTGTAATAATAATAATAATGATAATATTCAGATATTGAAATGATCTTGTAATAATAATAATATTCAGATATTGAAATGATCTTGTAATAATAATAATAATGATAATAATATTCAGATATAGAAATGATATAATAATAATATTCAGATATTGAAATGATCTTGTAATAATAATGATAATAATATTCAGATATTGAAATGATCTTGTAATAATAATGATAATATTCAGATATTGAAATGATCTTGTAATAATAATAATGATAATAATATTCAGATATTGAAATGATCTTGTAATAATAATAATAATGATAATAATATTCAGATATTGAAATGATCTTGTAATAATAATAATAATATTCAGATATTGAAATGATCTTGTAATAATAATAATAATAATAATGATAATTATATGCTATGCATGAGGTAAAACACTGCAAACACTTTGCTTTGGCCTTTTTTGCAATAACTATATTTCAAAAAAACCCCAAAAATCCTTTCAAATGGAGATGGAAACACAGCCCAGAATCATCAATACGAATATCCCACTCAAAGTCTTCTGAAACCCTAGAATGATAGGTTTGCCATGGAAGAGGAGAGCAGCTTGGCCTTGGGACTGAAGGGGTGCTGCTCTGGATCACAAGTTATGGCGTCACTTCCGGTTTGGCTTCCTCTCTCTCACCTCCAGAGCCCTCCTAGAGCGTCCCGATGATTGTTTTCTTTCCGGCGTGTCTCCGTCACTTCCGGTTGTGCGCCTGGCATGAAGAAGGGGCGCCCGGCCCGGAAGAGCGCCCGAAGGCCTTCCTTTCCAGGTGTGGGCCTGGGCCTAGGAGAGGCCTACTTGGGGGCCTTCCCTTCTGGGTGTTTTGGACTCCAACTCCCACCATTCCTAACAGCCTCAGGCCTATTCCTTTTCCCCCTCAGCCGCTTAAGCGGCTGAGGGGGAAAAGGAAAAGGCCTGAGGCTGTTAGGAATGGTGGGAGTTGGAGTCCAAAACACCCAGAAGGGAAGGCCCCAAGTAGGCCTATGCCTTCTCTATACTCATATCTCTCTCTGTCTCTCTATATGTCCTCCTATCCATATCTATCACCCTTTCTCTCTCTATAGATCTTTGTGTTAAGATCTACCTCTCTTTCTCTGCCTATCCATACTTATTTTTTATTTGTTTACTACCTTGGGGTCTCGGGAAGTGAGTGGAGGTACTTCAAGTCCCATCGTACCTGGTCCATGCTCCTCCAAACTGCACCAGGATGTAGAGAGGGTCATGGGGGCTTTGTGTGCCAAATTTGGTCTTGATCAGGCATTGGATGAGGGTCACAGCAGTTTCGGGAAGTGTGTGAAGGTACTTCAAGTCCCATCATCCATGGTCCATCCTCCTCCAAACTGCACCAGGATGTAGAATGGTGGTCCGTCCTCCTCCAAAGTGCACCAGGATGTAGATTGGGTCATGGGGGCACCAGGATGTAGAGAGGGTCATGGGGGCTCTGTGTGCCAAGTTTGGTCTTTATTGGTCATTGTTGAGGGTCGCAGTGGTCTGTGGGAACCCAAGTCTTGGAAAGTACTAGAAATCCCATCATCCATCGTCCGCCCTCCCCCAAACCTCACCAGGAAATAAAAGAAAGCATGGGGATTCTCTCTGCCGAGTTTGGTCTTGATCACTCATTGGATGAGGGTTGCAGCAGTCTCGGGAAGTGAGTGGAGGCACCTCAAGTCCCATCATCTATGGTCTGCCCTCCTCCAAACTGCAGTAGGTTGTAGAGTGGGTCATGGGGGCTCGGTGTGCCAAGTTTGGTGTTGGGGGCCACAGTGGTCTCAGGGAACCAAACCATTTGGAAGTACTACAAATCCCATAATCCGTGGTCCACCTCCCCCAAACCACACCAGGATGTAATTCGTGGTCCACCTCCCCCAAACAGTACCAGGATGTAAAGGGGGTCATGGGGGTTATGTGTGCCAAGTTTGGTCTTTTTCAGTCATTGGATGAGGGTCGCAGCGGTCTCGGAAAGCGAGTGGAGGTACTTCAAGTCCCATCATCCATGGTCTGCCTTCCTCCAAACCGCAGTAGGATGTAGAGTGGATCATGGGGGTTCGGTGTGTCAAGTTTGGTTTTATCGGTTTTTGTTGGGGGCCACGGTGGTCCCTGGGAACCAAACTGTTTGAAAGTATTACAAATCCCATAATCTGTGGTCCACCTCCCAGGACGTAAAGGGGGTCATGGCGGTTATGTGTGCCAAGTTTGGTCCAGGTGCGTCACCCGTGTTGGTCACAGTGGCCAGTGAAAGTGGCAGCCGATCAGAAAGCTGCCACATACACCTTCCTATGTCCGCCCTCCACATACAGACATTCACTTTTATTAGATAGATAGATAGATAGATAGATAGATAGATAGATAGATAGATAGATAGATAGAGATTTCATATCAAAAGCAATCTGTATAAGGACCAAGTAGCAACAGTCAGAACTGACCGTGGAACAACAGACTGGATCAAGATTGGGAAAGGCGTACGGCAGGGTTGTAACCTCTCCTCCAACCAATTCAACTTGTATGCAGAACACATCATGCAATATGCGGGGCTTGACGAATGCAAGGCTGGGGCTAAAATTGCTGGAAGAAACATTAGATATGCAGATGACACCACTTTGATGGTCTTTCCCCCCAGGCACTGCCAAGCCATCAAATGCTAATCAAGGTGGTCAGTTGAAACATTCACACCTAGCTCCGGCAAACAAGAGTTCTTTGTCCCACCCTGGTCATTCCACAGATATATAAACCCATTTTCCTAGTTCCAACAGACCTCACTACCTCTGAGGATGCTTGCCATAGATGCAGGTGAAACATCAGGAGAGAATGCCTCTAGAACATGGCCATATAGCCCGAAAAAACCTACAACAACCTAATTATAATATTGTATTATTATTAGTATTATATTATATTACATTGTTGTTGTTCATTCGTTCAGTCGTTTCTGACTCTTTGTGACCTCATGGACCAGCCCACGCCAGAGCTCCCTGTCGGCCGTCCCCACCCCCAGCTCCTTCAAGGTCAATCCAGTCACTTCAAGGATCCATCCATCCATCTTGCCCTTGGTCGGCCCCTCTTCCTTTTCCTTCCATTTTCCCCAGCATCATTGCCTTCTAATATTATAAATATTATATGTATATACAATATATTATATTATTAGTAAAGCACAGGAGACAAGATGGAACTGGCTTCTGCCCCCCTGTCTCTTCACTCTCTCTCTCTCCATATGCATCCTTTTTATCTCTCTCTTGCTTCCGCGTTCCCTATTATATATCTCTCTGTATTTCTCTATATTTATATTCTCCTGATTCCCTCTTATCCATCTCTTTCTATATGTTTCTGTCTCTTGATTTTCTTTTTCTGTCATCTCTCTGTATATACCTTTGTCTCAGAGTTTTTATCTGTATATCTCTGTATTTCTCTCTGAATATTTCTCATAATAATAATAATAATTTTATTTCTTACCCGCCTCTCCTTTGTGGCTCGAGGCAGATTACAGAATAATCAAAACACATAAACATTGTTACACACATATTAAAATGTATTTTTTAATAAAAGATACATATTCTATCCATATCCATTTTCTCTCTGTGTGTATCTTTCTGTATCTCTCCAGTGTGCGTTCCCTATTATATCTCTCTGTATTTATTTCTCTATATTTATATTCTCCTGATTCCCTCTTATCCATCTCTTTCTATATATTTCTGTCTCTTGATTTTCTTTTTCTGTCATCTCTCTGTATATACCTTTGTCTCAAGAGTTTTTATCTGTATATCTCTGTATTTCTCTCTGAATATTTCTCATAATAATAATAATAATAATAATAATAATAATAATTTTATTTCTTACCCGCCTCTCCTTTGTGGCTGGAGGCAGATTACAGAATAATCAAAACACATAAACATTGTTATACACAGATTAAAATGTATTTTTTAAATAAAAGATACATATTCTATCCATATCTGTTTTCTCTCTCTATAAATTTATGTATTTATTTATTTACGACATTTATATGCCGCCCTTTGCATCCCAAAGGGGACTCAGAGCAGTTTACAAGATATATACATACAATATATTATATTATTAGCATAGTACAATATCAGCATTATATATTACTATATTGTATACACATATTAAAATGTATTTTTTATAAAAAAATACATATTCTATCCATATCCATTTTCTCTCTGTGTGTATCTTTCTGTATCTCTCTCTCTCGTTTCCGCGTTCCCTATTATATATCTCTCTGTATATATTTCTCTATATGCTTACCTACAAAGCCCTAAACGGTTTGGGACCCGCCTACCTGCGTGACCGCATCTCTGTTTACGGACCCACACGATCTCTTCGATCATCTGGAGAGGCCTTGCTCACGATCCCACCTGCATCGCAGGTGTGATTGGTGGGGACGAGGGACAGGACCTTCTCGGTGGTGGCCCCTCGATTCTGGAACTCTCTCCCTAAGGACATCAGGCATGCCCCAACGCTGGCAGTTTTTAGGAGGAGCTTGAAAACGTGGTTGTTCCAGTGTGCCTTCCCAGAATAAGGAAACTCCAAGCAATATGTCCCCAAATGCACTTTACTAGAGATCTAGGATATCTGCATGCCCCGTCCCCCTCCAAATACCTACCTTTTTCACCTGGTCATGCCCAGCATATTTTTAAAAATTTTAATTATTACATTGGCCCTGCCATAGATTTTAATGCGTCGTCGTATGTTGTTAATGTGTATTGCTTTGTTTTGAGTTCATTTATTGTGTTGTTGTTTTTCCTGATGTATTTGGGCTCGGCCTCTTGTAAGCCTCACCGAGTCCTCCGGGAGATGGTAGCGGGGTATAAATAAAGGATTATTATTATTATTATTATTATTATTATATTTATATTCTCCTGTTGGATTCTCTCTTACTCTCTGTCTCTGTATTTCTCTTTCTGTGCAAGCAGGGATATAAATACAGACCAGTTGGGAGTCTGCTTGTCTGTTCGATTCCTTCCCACAGTTGACACTTTGAGTGAGTTGGAGACCTTGTGGCCGCTTAGCGGGCCTATCTTCCATCAATTTACACTGCTTGATACGGAAGATGTCGCCAGAATTCTGGCTACTGCAAAAGCAACCACCAGTTCTCTTGATCCGTGCCCGTCTTGGCTGATCAAGAGCTGCTTGGAAGGTCTACTCGATCCGTTGCCCAGTATAATCAATGGCTCTCTTGAACAGGGTTTTTTTCCGGACAACCTAAAAGAGGCAAGGGTTCGTCTCTTGTGAAAGAAACCTAGCTTGGATCCTATGACCCTTGCCAATTACCGTCCTGTTTCTAATCTGCCATTCTTAGGTAAGGTGATAGAGCGGGCTGTACTGGCACAATTGCAACAATTCCTGGATGACACAGCTGGCCTGGACCCTTTCCAGTCAGGTTTTCGCCCTGGCCATGGGACAGAGACAGTCCTGGTTGCCATTACGGATTAACTCCGTCGCCAGTCTGACAACGGTGGATCCGTGCTATTGGTACTTCTCGACCTTACCACAGCGTTTGACACCGTCAACTACGATCTAATGATTCACCGTCTTAGAATCATAGAATCAAAGAGTTGGAAGAGACCTCATGGGCCATCCAGTCCAACCCCCTGCCAAGAAGCAGGAATATTGCATTCAAATCACCCCTGACAGATGGCCATCCAGCCTCTGTTTAAAAGCTTCCAAAGAAGGAGCCTCCACCACACTCCGGGGCAGAGAGTTCCACTGCTGAACGGCTCTCACAGTCAGGAAGTTCTTCCTCATGTTCAGATGGAATCTCCTCTCTTGTAGTTTGAAGCCATTGTTCCGTGTCCTAGTCTCCAAGGAAGCAGAAAACAAGCTTGCTCCCTCCTCCCATGTCCGGAGTTCGTGGTCAGGCCTTCAATTGGTTCAACTCATTTCTCCAGAACCGGAGTCAGCGCGTGGAGTACATGGATCAAGTTTCTGATAGATCCCCCCTCCTATGTGGCGTCCCCCAAGGTGCAATTCTCTCCCCTCTTCTCTTCAACATCTACATTAGACCCCTTGCTAGTTTGGCTCGGAGTTTCGGCCTGGACTGCTACCAATATGCAGACGATACCCAACTCCTGTTGCGCTTGGAGCCTGGAGCAACATCAATTCCAGACAATTTCACCTGATGTCTGGAGGTTCTGTCGAACTGGCTACGTGCTAGCAGACTGAAGGTGAACCCGGCGAAGACTGAGATTCTCTGGCATGGCCGCCCGGCAGGTCTGACTCATCCGTTACCCACCTTCGATGGTGCCGCCCTATCTCCATCGACCACTGTTAAGAGCTTAGGTGTCGTCCTGGATTCACAGCTGACAATGGAAGCTCAGGTCGCTGCTGCCAGCAAACAGGCCTTTTTCTATCTACGACAAGTGAGGCAACTGGCACCCTACCTATCTGACGAGGCTCTGGCAACTGTCATCCATGCCACGGTCACGTCTAGGCTGGACTATTGCAACGCCCTGTATGTGGGCCTTCCGATGTCTACGACCCGAAAGCTTCGTATTGTTCAGAATGCGGCAGCCAGGCTACTCACAAGAACGCCCATGAAATGCCATATAACACCAGTGCTGCAACATTTACATTGGCTTCCAACGGAGTTGCTAGTTCTGACCTTTAAAATTCTTTACGGCCAGGGTCCATCGTACCTTAGGGACCGCCTCTCCTTCTCCCATCATCGGAGGTCACAACGACCAACCCAACGTGACTTACTCCATATACCGGGTCCTAGAGAAGTGCACTTGGAAAGTACCAGGCGCAGGGCTTTCTCTATTTCTGCCCCGGCCTTGTGGAATTCCTTGCCGCCCTACGTGAGAGCCATGCGGGACTTAGGGCCTTTTACTCTCGCACTTAAGACCTGGCTTTTTACTAGAGCATTCGATTTCTGTTAATTTTTAATTTCTGTATATATGTATTTTATCTTTTACAATTTAGATGTAAATCGCCTAGAGCATTCTCGGATGGAGGGAGATTAATAAGTAATTAAATATGATGATGATTTCTTGTTTTGTCTTTTCACAGAACCATGTCCAGCCAACATGACGACGAGGCCCAGAAAGAGGCGGCCTTTGCAGCTGAGCACTTGGCGGCTGAATCCATGGCGGCCGACATGGACCCCTGGGTGGTGTTTGACGCTCGCAAGACCCCGCGGGCCGAATTTGAGGAGTGGCTGCAGACCTACCAGCCGTCCCGCGTCTCTCGCTTCGGGGATCCCGAGCGCAATGCTGAGCCGGTGGGCTGGATCGCGGTCTATGGCCCCAGCTTCTGCCCCGAAGGAGGCGACGTGGTGGGGCTGCAGGAGGACTGGGAGCGGCTGCAGGGGAGCGGCCGCCATATTACTTTCGACACGGTGAAGGAGCTGGCTCTCAACCGGCGAGTGCTCACCGGCAAGTGGCTGATGCACTTGGATAGCGGCTTCAAGGTGGACCACGCCTGGCGCGGCATTGCTCGGGCAGCACTTGAGGGGCGCATCGGGGTGGCCAAAGTCAGCCCCTGCTGCCCCGACTCGGAGCGCAAGCAGGTCATCTGTGTCTACACCGAGGACTTCACCAACGAGGAGCAGGTGCTGGTGGCCGATGCTGTCATCCGGGCCACCGGCATCAAGTGCCTCTTGTCTTACAAGCCCGACGTTTACACTTACCTGGGTATTTACCGGGACAACCGCTGGCACCTTTGCCCCACCATCTACGAGAGCAAGTTCGACCTGGAATGCATCCCACGCCGCTCTCGCATCATCAACAAAGTCAACAACACCGAAGTAACTTAACCACCTCCTCTGATTCTCGGGGCGGAAAGGAATAACAAGCCCCAGCATGCAGTGCGTATTCACTGTCCTTTTGTCCCCTTGAGTCCGACTTCTTCAGAAACTTGGGCTGCCAAAAAGAAGTCCTTTTTGGGAAAAATAGTATTTCCAGATTCTCTTAAGGAGGCAGCCTTAGGATTTGGACGAGAGGTACGTCATCACTTCCGTTGAGCAATTTCTTAGCCTCTAAACAGTGTCTTCCCTGGTTTTTTCTTTTAGAGGACTTCTTGTTACGAGTGCGTCTCCACACACTTCCCCCCTTTACTTGCTTCTGGGACAAGCAGATGCTAAAATATATTACAGAAGAATCCTTTTGAGCGCTGGAAACAGTGGGCGGCCAGCTCGGAGGTTCAAAAATACACGCAGTTTCTAGCAACACATAACTATTCACCATTTAAGAAGAAAAGCTCACAACATGTATTCGTTGCACAAAGTGCAAAAGCTTGTTATGGTCTTGCTCCACCTTAAAAAGATGATTTTTGCCCTTTTTATTATTTTTGATCACTTCCAGCCTCACTCCTTTGTTCCTTTGGAAAAATAGCTTATATTTCTGTGCTCTTGAGGTTGTGGGAAGCATCCCTTCCGCTGTAAATAGGTTGGCAATAAAATATGTTTTGTTCTTCTGGCAGAATTATTATTATTATTATTATTATTATTATTATTATTATTATTATATTAATTTCTTCCAAATTTTATTGACACGCAGCTTCTAAAAAATCCAGATTTTTAAAAAAGTGGTACTTCTTAGCACAGTGGTTCTCAACGTTCCTAATGCCGAGACCCCTTAACACAGTTCCTCATGTTGTGGTGACCCCCAACCATAACATTGTAATTTTGCAACTGTTATGAATCGTCATGTAAATATCTGATATGCAGGATGTGTTTTCATTCACTGGACCAAATTTGGCACAAATACCCAATACGTCCATATTTGAATACTGGTGTTGATTGATTTTGTCATTTGGGAGTTGTAGTTGCTGGGATTTATAGTTCACCTACGATCAGAGAGCATTCTGAATTCCATCAATGATGGAACTGAACCAAACATGGCACAAATACTCAATATGCCCAAATGCGAACACTGGTGGAGTTTGGGGGAAATAGACCGTGACATTTTGGTGTTGTAGTTGCTGGGATTTATAGTTCACCTACAATCAGAGAGCATTCTGAACTCCACCAATGATGGAATTGAACCAAACTTGGCACAAATACTCAATATGCCCAAAAGCGAACACTGGTGGAGTTTGGGGAAAATAGACCTTGACATTGTGGTGTTGTAGTTGTGGGGATTTCATAGAATCATAGAATCGTAGAGTTGGAAGAGACCTCATGGGCCATCCAGTCCAACCCCATTCTGCCAAGAAGCATGAATATTGCATTCAAATCACCCCTGACAGATGGCCATCTAGCCTCTGTTTAAAAACCTCCAAAGAAGGAGCCCCCACCACACTCCGGGGCAGAGAGTTCCACTGCTGAACAGCTCTCACAGTCAGGAAGTTCTTCCTCATGTTCAGATGGAATCTCCTCTCTTGTAGTTTGAAGCCATTGTTCTGTGTCCTAGTCTCCAGGGAAGCAGAAAACAAGCTTGCTCCCTCCTCCCGGTGGCTTCCTCTCACATATTTATACATGGCTATCATATCTCCTCTCAGCCTTCTCTTCTTCTTCAGGCTAAACATGCCCAGCTCCTTGAGCCACTCCTCATAAGTTTTGTTCTCCAGACCCTTGATCATTTTAGTCGCCCTCCTCTGGACACATTCCAGCTTGTCAATATCTCTCTTCATTTGTGGTGCCCCGAATTGGACACAGCATTCCAGGTGTGGTCTAACCAAAGCAGAATAGAGCATGGGGAGCATGACTTCCCTAGATCTAGACACTATGCTCCTATTGATGCAGGCCAAAATCCCATTGGCTTTTTTGTTATCATATCACATTGCTGGCTCAATTGTTGGCTTATGAATCATCATGTAAATATCTGATATGCAGGATGTGTTTTCATTAACAGAACCAAATTTGGCACAAATACCAGATATGCCCAAATCTGAATACAGGTGCAGTTTGAGGGGGGGTTGATGTTGTCATTTGGGAGTTGTAGTTGCTGGGATTTATAGTTCACCTACAATCAAAGAGCATTCAGAACTCCACCAGCGATGGAATTGAACCAAACTCGGCACACAGAACTCCCATGAGCACCAGAAAATACTGGAAGGGTTTGCTGGGCATTGATCTTGAGTTTGGGAGTTGCAGTTCACCTACATCCAGAGAGCATGTGGAATCAAACAGTGATGGGAGATCTGGACCAAACTTGGCACAGATACACAATATGCCCAAATGTGAACACTGGCGGAGTTTGGGGGAAATAGACCCTGACATTTGGGAATTGCAGTTGCTGGGATTTATAGTTCACCTACAATCAAAGAGCCCTTTGAAGCCTACCCACAATAGAATTGGGCCAAACTTCCCACACAGAATTCCCACGACCAACAGAAAATACTGTGTTTTCTGATGGTCTTTGGTGATCCCCTCTGGCGACACTCCCCAGTGATCCCGACCCCCAGGTTGAGAATCATGGCTTTTGTGGTGTTGGCTTTTACAATAAGAGGAAAAAANGGTCACCATAACATGATGAAGCGTATTAAGGGGTCGTGGCATTAGGAAGGTTGAGAACCAATGTTCTAGATGCAGGAAAGTCATAGGCCCCATCTACACTGTCATACAATCAGTTTTGAATCCAGATTGTCTGATTCGAACTGGATTACATGACAGCATAGACTCCAGTGTAGAATCCAGTTCAAAGCAGATAATCTGGATCCAGGAACTGGATTATATGGCAGTGTAGATCCAGCCATAGTCCCACTCTCTTCTGCTTTGGTCAGACCAGAACTGGAATAACCTTGTGCCCAGTTTTGGGCAACACAATTCAAGAATGTAATGCATTTGACTTATTTGTAAGACCATAGACTCACTTTGGCAACCTCCCTTGTCTTCCAGAGGTATGCTGCACTTTTCTTGCCCCGAGACCGTACGGATCCTGGACTCCTTGTTCTCTCTGCTCACCAAAGGGACCGAAAGGCTCAAGCCAACAAACATGGCCTTCTTTGTGGAGGTAAGGAACCAAGAGGCCAGAAAGAATAGGAATGTGGCATCCTTTAGAAGGAAAATAAAATAATAAAGGGAAATCATAAGAATTTAGAATAATATAGAAGATTTTTGTTCCTACCTGAATCTGAGAAGATCAGTTCTAAATTTGCAAGCATGCAAAACCTGCAGATGATTGACACGGGGTCAGGTTGCTCTCGCCATGTTTGCTTTAGCCATGTTTGTTCTAGCCTGTTTATTCTAGTCGATGTTGACAGAGATATGAAGTCAACAAGAGAATTTGGCAGGACAAAGTAATCAATAATATCGATCCAAGACTTGGAACATCTAAGGTCATATGGTGAGAGAGCGCCATCCTCTGACCACTTAATGTAAATAGCAGGCAATTTCAGAAACGCTTTTATTTTAAGTACATTCCTTCATGATTATTCATATTAAGAAATGTTATAATGAAGTAATTAAGGCTGGATTGATTAAGAGATTGCCTTGATTGAATCTTATGTTATAAGCATATACAAGTTAAAATTCAATTAGAGATTTAAAGGAATTGAATATATACATGTCATATTAGGACAACGGGTGAAAGTTGAGATAAGTTATATAACCGAGCAGATGTTTGGGGTCACAACGTGCCTGCCAAGACCTGNGGAGATTGCCTTGATCAAATCTTATGTTATAAGCATATAAAAGTTATAATTCAATTAGAGATTTAAGGAATTAAACATATACGTGTCATCTTAGGGTAACGGGTGAAAGTTGGGATAAGTTACATAATAGAGCAGATGTTTAGGGTCACAACGTGCCTGCCAAGACCTGATGAAGATGTCCTTGGCAACTATACATGGAAACACCTGTTAATGATTGTATTGTGTAAGTGTCAGACTCTTTCTGTACACACGTGAAAAGAGTGATATTCTGCTATAAAACACCAAAGTGATTCGGACCTCAGTTGTGACAGTCTTTTGAGCTATACACCCTATCTTGCTTGATAGTAAAGGCCTGAGAATCGATTGCTGTCTCCGTCCTCTTCCTTCCTGATTGTACTCTAATGATCTCAGGTAACGTGTATTCCACAACATCACAACCTCTGAGGATGCCTGGGTGAAATGTCAGGAGAGAATGCTTCTGCAACATGGCCATACAGCCTGGAAAACTCACAGCAGCCCAGTGATTCTGGCCATGAAAGCCTTCGACAACACATCTTTAACCCATCCACATGCTTTTAAAATGCAGCAGAGTATAAAAAAGGAACATAAGGCATTGATATTTTGCAAAATAGATAATGAGATCACCTACAACGTCACCCATTGTGCCTTTGTGTCTGTTTTCTTCTGCTCTCCTTGGCCTCCATTGGGTCACACTGGCCTACCGATCCCCTCTTATATGTCTTTGTTCCATTATTGCTTCAGGCTATTTGCATAAGGCGCATATGAAACATGAACGGATTTCGGGTTTAGACTTGTGTCACATCTATAAGTTATATTATGACGGAATTGCAAATGCTGGTATTCCAAAACCCTTTCTTGGTCTAAACATTTTGGCGAAGGGTTGCTTTAAGTTTTTCGGGCTGTATAGCCATGTTCCAGAAGCATTCTCTCCTGATGTTTCACCTGCATCTACAAGGGTTGAATGGAAAATAATGCCTCCACCTTCATAACCCATCAACAGATGGCAGTACTGGAATGCAGCAGGTACTGGCTTGTTCAGTAGACTCTCCTCTAAAGTTCCATTTCGGCAGGAAGTCTTAGCACTGAACAGTTGTGTTGTTAAAGGATCTACAAGGGTTGAATGGAAAGTAATGCCTCCACCTTCGTAACTCCTCAACAGATGGCAGTACTGGTATTCGGCAGGTACTGGCTTGTTCAGTAGACTCTCCTCTACAGTTCCATTTTGGCAGGAAGCATTAGCATTGAACGGTGTTGTTAAAGCATCTACAAGGGTTGAGTGGAAAGTAATGCCTCCACCTCCCTAACTCCTCAACAGATGGCAGTACTGGTATGCTGCAAGTACTGGCTTGTTCAGTAGACTCTCCTCTACAGTTCCATTTTGGCAGGAAGCCTTAACATTGAACGGTTGTGTTCTTAAAGCATCTACAAGGGTTGAATGGAAAGTCATGCCTCCACCTTCGTAACTCAACAGATGGCAGTACTGGTATTCGGCAGGTAGTGGATTGTTCAATAGACTCTCCTCTACAGTTCCATTTTGGCAGGAAGCCTTAGCAGTGAACGGTTGTGTTGTCAAAGCATCTACAAGGGTTGAATGGAAAGTAATACTTCCACCTTCGTAACTCCTCAACAGATGGCAGTACTGGTATGCGGCAAGTGCTAGCTTGTTCAGTAGACTCTCCTCTACAGTTCCATTTTGGCATGAAGCCTTAGCACTGAACAGTTGTGTTGTTAAAGCATCTACAAGAGTTGAATGGAAAGTAATGCCTCCACCTTCGAAACTCAACAGATGGCAGTACTGGTATTCGGCAGGTACTGGCTTGTTCAGTAGACTCTCCTCTACAGTTCCATTTTGGCAGGAAGCCTTAACATTGAACAGTTGTGTTGTTAAAGTGCAAAGTATGGTACCCTGCGCAGATGGTCGGTCAAAAGCAACGTGCAGTCACTGAATTCTTGACAGCAGAAAGTGTCACCCCAAAGGAGATTTATCAGAGAATGTGTGCTGTTGATGGTGATTGTGTTGATGTGAGTACTGTGTGTTGTTGGGCGAGTAAGTTTAAAGATGTTGAGATGGGAACATCTGACTTGTGTGACAAAGAAAGAGTTGGATGTCCTGTGACAGCAACCACCGAGTTTCACAAGCAAAAGGTTGACAGATTGATTCAGCATAATTTCAAGCATAATTGGCATTTCACAAAAATGTGTGGGTCACATTATTGCTTTGCTTGGTTATCGGAAGATCTGTGCACGCTGAGTACCCAGGATGAGAGAACTGTGAGACTCTGGTTGCAGAAACAGAGTGTCGACTTCTTCCGTGACGGCTTCAGAAAACTTGTTCATCGTTGGCAGAAATGTATCCAATTGTCTGGTGATTGTGTGGAAAAGTAAATAGTGGTAGTTAAAGAGCACATTCGAAAGATTATTTCCGCGTTTGATTTATTAAAATATTCCCATTCAAACCGAAGTAATGAAGGCGGAGGCATTACTTTTCATTCAACCCTCGTATGGCAGAGGATGCACTTTTCTTGCTCTCCTGCCAGAATGTATTGCACTCAGTAAGTTTGTACCCAACTGTGTTCTTTTTGTTCAGCCATATTGTTTTGAAGTTGTTTATGTGAGTGTTTTCATTTTATCCAATGTTTTTAATGCTCAACCTTGCATCAGGCACATCCTGGTTTCAGGTAACATTTTAAGGCACGGCAGATACAAAAAATAACCTTGTAATTTTGGGTTTGTTTCTTGTAAGCCGCCTCGAATCCTCTTGGGGAGATGGTTGGCGGGGTATAAAATAAAGTAGTAGTAGTAGTTGTTATTATTATTATTATTATTATTATTATTGGGTTGTTGTAGGTTTTTTTGGGTTTTTAAATGCTTATATGTCACTCTTGTTTATTGCCTATTTTTTGTTTATGTGATTTATATGAATTGTATTGTATTGATTTATTTATTGATGTTTTGTTTATTGATGTATTGTGGGCTTGGCCTCATGTAAGCCGCACCGAGTCCCTTGGGGAGATGGTAGCAAGGTACAAATAAAATTGTTTATTAGCTATAGGCCATGTTCTAGAGGCATTCTCTCCTGACGTTTCGCATGCATCTATGGCAAGCATCCTCAGAGGTAGTGAGGTCTGTTGGAACTAGGAAAATGGGTTTATATATCTGTGGAATGACCAGGGTGGGACAAAGAACTATTGTCTGCTGGAGCTAGGTGTGAATGTTTCAACTGACCACCTTGATTAGCATATGATGGCCTGGCAGTGCCTGGGGCAATTCCACAGATATATAAACCCATTTTCCTAGTTCCAACAGACCTCACTACCTCTGAGGATGCTTGCCATAAATGCAGGCGAAACGTTAGGAGAGAATGCCTCTAGAACATGGCCATATAGCCTGAAAAAACCTCCAACAACCCAGTGATTCCGGTCATGAAAGCCTTTGACATTGTGATTATATGCCTGCCATAGATGCAGTGAAACGTCAGGAGAGAATGCTTCTGGAACATAGCCATACAGTCCAAAAAACTTACAGCAACCCAATGATTCCGGCCATGAAAGCCGTCGACATTATTATTATTATTATATGCCTGCCATAGATGCGGTGAAACGTCAGGAGAGAATGCTTCTGGAACATAGCCATACAGTCCAAAAAACTTACAGCAACCCAGTGATTCTGGCCATGAAAGCCTTCAACATTATTATTATATGCCTGCCATTGATGCGGTGAAACGTCAGGAGAGAATGCTTCTGGAACATAGCCATACAGTCCAAAAAACTTACAGCAACCCAGTGGTTATGGCCATGAAAGCCTTCGACATTATTATTATTATATGCCTGCCATAGATGTGGTGAAACGTTAGGAGAGAATGCTTCTGGAACATAGGCATACAGTCCAAAAAACTTAAAGCAACCCAGTGATTCCGGCCACGAAAGCCTTCGACAATACATTTTGGCGAAGGGTCGCTCAACCTTGCATCAGGCACATCCTGGTTTCGGATAACATTTTAAGGCATGGCAGATACAAAAAAGTAGCGGTCTCACCAAAACACAACCGCAAATAATTGTGGTAGAGGCACCACACCTTTACAGCACTAAAAAAAATGATACAAGGTTCACTCATGATTGGTGTTTCTCAAAGGCACAACCACAAATAATTGTGGTAGAGGCACCACACCTTTACGGCACTAAAAGCAATCAATATAAGGTTTGCCCACGGTTGATGTTTCTCCGAGTCCCCAAAATGCTATCTCTATATGTACATGCAATGGCTTTAATGGGTTTCGAGACGGCACGAGGGAAGGGGGATTCTTCCCTTGGGCATCAGACATTTTTCCTTTTACGAACACGTTTGGTTAAGGATTTTTGGATGCTGAAGAGTCTCCGACAGATTGTCAGATGTCGCCACCTCCTAAAACAAAATGACCTACTTTCAGTTAGTCCGCTTCCTCCACGTCAGATTATGTAACCCGTCTCACTTCTGTTCACATCAATCCGAAAACACCAGGAAGCAGAGAAGGTGTTGTCCGTCTAGACCGAAACTCGAGGCAAGCAAGGCCTTTGGAGTCCAAGGAGGATGGCCGGCAGTCGTACTTACGAGTTCAGCTGGCTCAGAATCGAGTTCAAGTCCATGTCCACCATGGACGAAAAGCCATCCTCACCAGGCAGGGCTCCCAAAAGGCCGTTGATGAAGCTGTTGGTCGCGCTGTTGTTGGCGCTGTTGTTGCCGCCGCCTCCTCCTCCGTCTCCGCTGCCACTGGGCTCTCCTTCGGCCCTCCGCTGACTGACCAAACGGGTGATGGACTCTGGGTAAGTCAGGAGGGTTCCCTGGCTGTCTGGGAGTGTCGCCGCCGCCGGGCCCACGCCTTCCGTCAGGAGCTGGCGGAACTCAGCCGTGTTGATTCCTTCCAAACTGGTGTAAGGCACGTCGTCCAGGATCCCGCCCAGCTCCATGCCCCCGGCATCCCCTCCCTCAACAAAGTGGAGGTTCAGGAAGGCATCCGCAATGCTGGTCTCGGACTCTGACACGGGAGGTTGGACCTGCTGGGCGACTCCGAGGCCAGAGAGGTCCTCCAGGTTCACTGTGCTGAAATTAGCCTGGGCAGCGCCTGGAGGAGGAGCTGGAGGGGTATGGCTGGGCCCCCCAAAGAAGCCTGGAGAAGGCTGCGCCAGGCTCTGCGGCTTCTGGGCCAACGGTGGGGTTGATCCCGCTGCACCCATGATCCCCGGGATGCCTGTGGAGGAACAGAGAATGCATTACTTTGAGGACAGGAGCAGGATTCAGAGGACAGGAGCAGGATTCAAAACGATCTTGACAGATTAGAGAGATGGGCCAAAACTAACAAAATGAAGTTCAACAGTGACAAATGCAAGATACTCCACTTGGGCAGGAAAAACGAAATGCAAAGATACAGAATGGGGGACAATGCCTGGCTCGAGAGCAGTACGTGTGAAAAAGATCTTGGAGTCCTCGTGGACAACAAGTTAAACATGAGCCAACAATGTGATGTGGCAGCAAAAAAAGCCAATGGGATTTTGGCCTGCATCAATAGGAGCATAGTGTCTAGATCTAGGGAAGTCATGGTACCCCTCTATTCTGCTTGGTTAGACCACACCTGGAATATTGTGTCCAATTCTGGGCACCACAATTCAAGAGAGATATTGACAAGCTGGAATGTGTCCAGAGGAGGGCGACTAAAATGATCAAGGTCTGGAGAACAAGCCCTATGAGGAGCAGCTTAAGGAGCTGGGCATGTTTAGCCTGAAGAAGAGAAGGCTGAGAGGGGATATGATAGCCATGTATAAATATGTGAGAGGAAGCCACAGGGAGGAGGGAGCAAGCTTGTTTTCTGCTTCCCTGGAGACTAGGACGCGGAACAATGGCTTCAAACTACAAGAGAGGAGATTCCATCTGAACATGAGGAAGAACTTCCTGACTGTGAGAGCCATTCAGCAGTGGAACTCTCTGCCCCGGAGTGTGGTGGAGGCTCCTTCTTGGAAGCTTTTAAGACAGAGGCTGGATGGCCATCTGTCAGGGGTGATTTGAATGCAATATTCCTGCTTTTTGGTAGAAAGGGGTTGGACTGGACGCCCATGAGGTCTCTTCCAACTCTTTGATTCTATGATTCTATGAAAGCCTCCAGCACAAAGGCAGGGAGACCTAGGTTCTGGGGATAAATGGCACTTTTGGGGGGTGCTCAAGAATTCCAGTCCGGCTTTTCCATGACTTTGGTGGCTCCCAAGCCATTTCTCTCTCTTTTTTCTTTTTTTATAAAGCTAAATTTCCAACATTTTCGTAAATATCTACAGTGAAACAGGCAAAGAGAACATAGCGTAAAGGTAATCTATATAAATAAAAATGTGATGTTCGTTTGTGGGATTAACATAACTCAAAAACCACTGGACGAATTGACACCAAATTTGGACACAAGACACCCAACAGTCCAATGAATGTCCTTCACTCATAAAAACACTAAAAAACACAGCAGAAGGGACTTAAAAAGCCCCCAAAAGCTAAATGACGAGAAGCTAAATGACAACACAGAAAAAAGGGAAGAAAGAGGGAAGGGGAGAAAAGGAAAGAAAGAAAGGGAGAAGGAAGCATGGAAGCAAAGAGAGAAGGAAGGAAAGAGGTAGAGAAGGAAGAAAGGAGAGAAAGAGGGAGGGAAAGAAAAAGGGGGAAGGAAGGAAAGTTAGAGAAGGAAGGAAGGAGAGAAGGAAAGAAAAAAGGGGGGAAGATGTAGAGAGCCTCCTTTGCCGAGGAGTATAGCAAACTGCAAATCCCAGGATTTTGTAGCAGTCAAAGTGGTGTCAAACTGCATTAATTCTACAGTGTAGATCAGGCATGAGCAAACTTTGGCCCTCCTGGTGTTTTGGACTTCAAATGTAGGAGTTATTTATTTATTTATTTATTTTATATCCTATTTTTTCTCTCCATGCGGAGACTCAAAGCGGCTCATAATTAAAAACATTACAATACAACTTAAAATATAAAATATACAATAATAAAGCAGTATTGCCATTAGATATATGTACTATTATAATTGCTATATTATAGGATTGCTGGGTGTCTTCCTTGCTATCTTTTTGTAGACAAGTGAAGATCCTTTTGTTTCATCAGGTCTTTGAGGGTTGATTGCACAAGAAAAAGACCTTTCATGTACTGTGTTTTCCATATTTGTTGTTCTTCCTTCTAATGGCCTGTATTTTATTTTACTTATATTTTCAACTTTTGCATAATGTAAAAAAAATTAAAATAATAGCTGTATCTATTTTATCTCCTGTAAACCTGGAGTCTCAAACTGGGAGAAAGTATGAACAATAATTAACAATGATTAATCAATAATTAATCATTCTCTTTGGCATCCTTTCAGTTTCATTCTGCATTTCAGTAGGGTTCATTTGTTTGAAGTGGTCTCTGCCCCGAGTTGCAAGCAACACTCTTTCAACCCAAAAAATAAATATTGTCGAAGGCTTTCATGGCTGGAATCACTAGGTTCTTGTAGGTTTTTTCGGGCTATAGGGCCATGTTCTAGAGGCATTTCTCCTGACGTTTCGCCTGCATCTATGGCAAGCATCCTCAGAGGTAGTGAGGTCTGTTGGAAATAGGACAATGGGTTTATATATCTGTGGAATGGCTGGGGTGGGGCAAAGAGCTCTCTGCTGGAGCTAGGTGTGAATGTTTCAACTGACCACCTTCATTAGCATTTGAAGGCCTGGCTGAGCCTGGGAAAAATGTTCTGTTGAGAGGTGTTAAGATGTGCCTGGTTGTTTCCTCTCTGCTGTTTTGCTGTTGCAATTTTAGAGTCCTTCAATACTGGCAGCCAGATTCCGCTCATTTTCATGGTCTCTTCCTCTCTGTTGAAATTGTCCACATGCTTGTGGATTTCAATGGCTTCTCTGTGTAGTCTGACATGGTGGTTGTTGGTGTGGTCCAGCATTTCTGTGTTCTCAAATAATATGCTGTGTCCAGGCTGGTTCATCAGGTGCTCTGCTATGGCTGACTTCTCTGGTTGAAGTAGTCTGCAGTGCCTTTCATGTTTTGATGCGTGTCTGGGCAATGCTGCTGCGTTTGGTGGTCCCTATGTAGACTTGTCCACAGCTGCATGGTACACGGTAGACTCCTGCAGAAGAGAAAGGATCCCTCTTGTCCTTTGCTGAACGTAGCATTTGTGGGATTTTCTTGGTGGGTCTGTAGATTGTTTGTATGTTATGTTTCCTCATCAGCTTCCCTATGCGGTCAGTGGTTCCCTTGATGTATGGCAAGAACACTTTTCCTCTGGGTGGATCTTTTTACTCTCGTGGCTTGTTCTCGGTCTTGCAGCTCTTCTGATGTCTGAGGTGGAGTATCCATTGGCCTGGAGAGCCCAGTTGAGGTGGTTCAGTTCATCTTGGAGGAGGTGGGGTTCGCAGATTCTTTTTGCACGGTCTGCCAAGGCTTTAATGGTGCTTCTTTTTTGACTTGGGTGATGGTTGGAGTTTTTATGTAGATATCTATCTGTGTGTGTGGGTTTTCTGTAGACGGTGTGACCCAATTGTTGATCTGGTTTGCGGATGACTAGGACATCTAGAAAAGGCAGTCTTCCTTCATTTTCTTTTTCCATGGTGAATTGGATGTTTGGGTGGATGCTGTTAAGATGGTCCAGGAACCTGTTGAGTTCTTCTTCTCCATGGCTCCAAATGGGGAAAGTGTCATCCACATATCTGGTATGTAGAGACCTCACCTCTGAGGATGCTTGCCATAGATGCAGGTGAAACGTCAGGAGAAATGCCTCTAGAATATGGCCATATAGCCCGAAAAAACCCACAAGAACTGAATATAGTGAACCTATTGCTATCTAATTACCTCTATTTCATTTTTATTTTTGAAACAAGCTTGGCTACCTCATTTTACATCTGTCCTTTCTGTCTATTGCTTCAACTGGAATTCCTCTGTTTTCTGAGGGCCACAGCAACACGTGGCAGGGGTACAACTAGTAAATAATAAATATATAAGGCTCAGTGTCTAAATTCAACACCTGAAAAATCTTACAACAGAGCCACCAACAAAAAGACTTCAACACTTTCGGGAGAAGTATTTTTGGGGGGAAGAAATCCAAAAAGTCCTTACCACTGTTACCAGGCCGTGCTAAGTTTTGTTTTGGAACAGCAATGCGGCGCCAGGAGCGAGATTCAGGAGCTGCAATGATCAAGGAGAGAAGGTGGTTACCTTTAAGGGAAATTCAGCCCATGCAATCTCTCCGGAGGTTGCATTGTACCACTTGGGTACACTGTTGGGGGGGGGGGGGGGGACATGGGAATCCACAGACTGCTTACTCCCATCTCATTTTATTTTTGGTTGGGGGTGTGTGTGTGTGTGTTTCATTGAATGCCCTTACCTACAAAGGGTGCCTTCTGCACAAAGTTCTTGAATGTGCTGAGCGTCCGTTTACGCTTCTCTTCAATCCGATGAGAGTCACCTACCAAAGAATGGCTCGTTATTCATCTTGCAAGACCAGTCTCTTCTTACCTCAAGGCCTCCAGATAACTTGGAATGCTGTGCCCATTATCCTCAGCAAGCATGGTTAGGGATGATGGGAATTGTGGTTCAACCTTTTATGTTAAGTCACAGACACTATGGCAAAGAACTTTTGCTGATCCTCTTCAAGTCACCCAGTATATCTAAACCTACATTGTTGTTATTGTTGTTATTATACCTTCTGGCTGCCCTTGCTACACATCCCAAGCCTTGTCATTATAATTACTATTGTACTGACACAAAACCACAGTATGTCACAGAAAACGAGATCTCTATGCTGGATTTCGTATCACAAAATCACAAGTCGAACAGTTCCCAAGTGTCTAGGACTGGAAGGCATGATCATCAAGTTTGCAGACGACACCAAATTGGGAGGGATAGCCAATAGTCCAGAGGACAGGAGCAGAATTCAAAACGATCTTGACAGATTAGAGAGATGGGCCAAAACTAACAAAATGAAGTTCAACAGTGACAAATGCAAGATACTCCACTTTGGCAGAAAAAATGAAATGCAAAGATACAGAATGGGGAACGCCTGGCTCGATAGCATTACATGTGAATAAGATCTTGGAGTCCTTGTAGACAACAAGTTATACATGAGCCAACAATATGATGCTGCAGCTAAAAAAGCCAATGTGATTTTGGGCTGCATCAATTGGTGGCTAGTGTCTAGATCCAGGGAAGTCAAGCTGCCTCTCTATTGTGTTTAGATTAGACCTCACCTGGAATACTGGGTCCAATTCTGGGCACCACACTTCAAAGAGATATTGACAAGCTGGAAGGTGTCCAAAGGAGGGCAGCTAAAATTATCAAAGTTCTGGAGACCATGAATCCCTCTGAGGAGCATCTTAAAGATCTGGGTCTGTCCAGCCTGCAGAAGAGAAGGTTGAGAGGGACCACAGGGAGGAGGGAGCAAGCTTGTTTTCTGCTTCCCTGGAGACTAGGACGCAATGGAGAAATGGCTTCAAACTACAAGAGAGGAGATTCCATCTGAACATGAGGAAGAACTTCCTGACTGTGAGATCGTTCAGCAGTGGAACTCTCTGCCCCGGAGTGTGGTGGAGGCTCCTTCTTTGGAAGCTTTTAAACAGAGGCTGGATGGCCATCTGTCAGGAGTGATTTGAATGCAATATTCCTGCTTCTTGGCAGGGGGTTGGACTGGATGGTCTCTTCCAACTCTTTGATTCTATGATTCTATGATTCTATGACTGTGTGATGTATTTTCGAATGAATGAATAAATAGTATAATTACTATTATTATTATTATTATTATTATTATTATTATTATTATTAAGAATGTGTGATGTATTTTTGAACGAATAGTATAATTGCTACTACTACTATTATTATTATTATCATGAAGAATGTGTGATGTATTTTCGAATGAATGAATAGTATAATTACTACTGGGTTAAAGCACTGAGCTGCTGAGCTTGTTGATCGAAAGGTCGCAGGTTCAATTCCGGGGAGCGGCATGAGCTTCCGCTGTCAGCCCTAGCTTCTGCCAACCTAGCAGTTCGAAAACATGCAAATGTGAGTAGATCAATAGGTACCCTCTAGCAGGAAGGTAACAGTGCTCTATGCAGTCATGCCGGCCACATGACCTTGGAGGTGTCTACGGACAACGCTGGCTCTTCGGCTTAGAAATGGAGATGAGCACCACACCCCAGAGTCAGACATGACTGGACTTAATGTCAGGGGACTACCTTTACCTTTACTTACTAGATACATCCTACCTCTGTTCATATAACAATGGCTTCAAACTACAAGAAAGGAGATTCCACTGAACATTAGGAAGAACTTCCTGACTGTGAGAGCTGTTCAGCAGTGGAACTCTCTGCCCCAGAGTGTGGTGGAGGCTCCTTCTTTGGAGGCTTTTAATCAGAGGCTGGATGGCCATCTGTCAGGGGTGATTTGAATGCAATATTCCTGCTTCTTGGCATGGGGTTGGACTGGATGGCCCATGAGGTCTCTTCCAACTCTTTGATTCTATGATTCTATGAATGAATAGTATAATAATAATAAAAATAATTATGAAGAATGTGTGATGTATTTTTTGAATGAATGAATAGTATAATTACTATTACTACCACTACTATTATTATTAGTGTTGTTGTAGTTGTTATACCTTTTGGCTGCCCTTGCTACACATCCCAAGTTCTGTCCTCATTATTATTATTATTATTATTATTATTATTATTATTATTATTATTATGAAGAATGTGTGATGTATTTTTAATGAATGAATACTACTACTACTACTATTATTATTATTATTATTATTATTATTATTATTATTATTATTATGTGTTGTAGTTTTTATACCTTCTCCCAAGCCCTGTCGTCATATTATTATTGTTGTTGCTGTTGTTATACCTTCTGGCAGCCCTTGCTACACATCCCAAACCCRTTGTCCTTTTATTATTGTTATTATACTTTTTGGCTGCCCTTGCTATACATCCCAAGTCTCATTGTCTTACTATTATTATTGTTGTTGTTATATATTCTACCTGCTTATGTCAAACATCCCAAGCCTGTTGTCCTTTTATTATTGTTGTTGTTATTATACTTTTTGGCTGCCCTTGCTATACATCCCAAGCCCCGTCACCATATTATTGTTGTTGTTGCTGCTGTTGCTGTTGTTATACCTTCTGGCAGCCCTTGCTACACATCCCAAACCCGTTGTCCTTTTATTATTGTTGTTATTATACTTTTTGGCTGCCCTTGCTATACATCCCAAGCCTCATTGTCTTATTGTTGTTGTTGTTGTTGTTGTTGTTGTTATATATTCTGACTGCTCATGCCACACATCCCAAGCCCGTTGTCCTTTTATTATTATTGTTGTTAGTATACTTTTTGGCTGCCCTTGCTATACATCCCCAGCCACATCGTCATATTATTGTTGTTGTTAGTGTTGTTGTTATTGTACCTTTTGGCTGCCCTTGCTACACATCCCAAGCCCCATCAAGCTTCACTCATCATCTGCAGAAGGAAACAGTTGCTATCCAGAGAAGGAGGATGGAAACATTCCTTAAAAAGCACACTTCATGATGGCCTGAAGGCTGAACGTACCTTCATCGGGCAGATACCGGAACTCCATGGGCCCGCTCACTTCCTTGTCGGACGGGCGCCGCAACTGCATCTGGATGGTCACGGGTTCCCGCAAAGCTTGGTCCATGTACGGCGGGGTCTTGAAGACGATGGCCACTTGACGGTGGACGTCAGCCTGGGAGAAGGAGCCCTTTGCCTCCCAGGAGTCCTTGAAGAAGCGGACTTCAATGTCTTCTGGAAGGGAAATGGAGAAGCAGAGAGGTCTCAGGCTCATTGCAGGCCTAAAGGATGGGGCAAAGTCTTTGTATCCCCAACCTCCGAGTAGAATCCTTTATTTCTTCTGAATTTGGAATCAAGGAACATGAAAGGCACTGCAGACTAACTCAGCCACAGCAAAGCGCCTGATGAACCAACCTGGACACTGAAACCATTAAGCATTTGTACCTGAATATTTCAAGCCTGTTCAATAAATGTTCTAGTTATTTTTATCAACTTATACCAGCCTCAGTGTGAATACCTTTGTGGTCAGGGCATTATTCAAGTCAGCTTTTAACAGCCTTCAAGAAACCTATAGTGACACAGAATGTATTACTGAACAACCTCTCAATAATACTTCAGCCTGTTTATTATTAATATGGTGGCAGCAGGAATCTTTTGAAGAATCATTTTAAGTCTCTCAGTTCTAGTGGTTCCCAGTTCCTAATTTTAAAAAATACAGTTGGTTCTGCAACTATCCTCCCTCTATATTTTGGTGACCTAGTCTGTGGTGATGTATCGTTATAATTTGGCTGAGCAGGATTTTTTTCTATATTTCCCCATCTGATAAATCAATTTAAAATCTTACTACTACCTTCCTGCGTTGTTATATCAGACTACACAGGGAAGCCATTGAAATCCTCAAGAAAATGTGGACAATTTCAAGAGAAAGGAGGAAAACATGAAAATGAACAATCTGGATACCAGTATTTAAAAAACTCTGGAGTCAGGACAGTAAATAAAGAGCAACATTTTAAAACAACAGGGGGGTTCAATTCAGGGAACCATCAGGGCCAGCTAACACCTCCCAACAAAGGATTCTCCCAGGCAGGAAGCAGCCAGGCTTTGAAGCTGCAAGGCCACTCAATGCTAATCTAGGTGGCCATTATATAGTATTATAATGTAATGCAATATAATACTAATAATAATATATTATAATAATTATATATTACATATAATACTGATGTAAAGTAAGTAAGTAAATTGTACTATGCTAATAATATAATATACTGTATGTATATATATCTTGTAAGCCACTCTGAGTCCCATTTGGGGTGAGAAAGGAGGCACATAAATATTGTAAATAAATAATAATAATAATAATAATAATAATAATAATAATAATAAGTGTTGTTGTAGTTGTTATACCTTCTGGCTGCCCTTGCTACACATCCCAAGCCCTGTTGTCACTTTATTATTGTTGTTGTTGTTATACTTTCTGGCTGCCCTTGCTATACATCCCAAGGCCCATCGTCTTATTATTATTGTTGTTTTTGCTGTTGTTGTTTTTATACCTTCTGGCTGCCCTTGCTACACATCTTGTGTTTGGTGAACCGTGGCTTGAGGCAGAGCAGCAAAAGGCAGCCGTACCTGCCAGCCGCATTATGTTAGCCCTCAAGGGAGAAAATTCCCATCCCCTATGCAATAAAACTATAATCTGATGCTTGTTGTGATCCTGAGAATCTATGGCCTGAGGCAGCTGCCTCACTCTGCTCAATGCTAGCCCCTAGATCAAGGAGCAACTGCAGTATGCTGGGCCAGACAAATGGGCTTTGGAGTCCTTGTTGACAAGATAGGACTGGAATCCGACTCTGGTATGTACCATTTGCTCCATCATTAAGCCTTCTGCTATAGCAGTGAAATATGTCAGTATCCGGCACTGAAAAAAGCCTTGGAGAATCCTGGAACTACTCTTTTTTTCCAGAACAGGAAAATACCTTTTTGCACTTTGTCACAAAGGAGGAAAATCTCGTCTCCCCCCCGGCAGCTCCCTGAATTACGGTTCACCCGGCAGATCTTCAGCTCCGCAGTGTTGGGAGCACCTATGGAAAGAAAAAAAAAATACGATTGGTGGAGGCTACCTCTTTGGAGGCTTGTAAACAGAGCTGGATGGTCATCTGTCGGAGGTGGTTTGAATGATATTTTCCTGCTTCTTGGCAGGATGGGGTTGGATTAGATGGCCCACGAGGTCTCTTCTAACTCTAGGATTCTATGATTCCAAGGCTTAAGTCCTTGTGGATTATTATTATTATAATCTATATAAATAAAAATGTAATGTTTGTTTGTGCTATTCACAGAACTCAAAAACCACTGGGGCAATTGGCACCAAATTTGGACACGATACACCTAACAACCCAATTTATGTTCTCCACTCAAAAAAAACAAAACAAAAAAACAAAAAAAAAAAACAAAAAACCGGAAAGAACTTACCCCCCACAAGGCTAAATGCCTATATAGAGCTTGTGTTAAAAGAACCCCCTCCCCCGTCCCTCGCTCCTGCACGAGGGGAAAAAACCCAACCGCTGAGAGAGAGAGAGAGAGAGAGAGAGAGAGAGAGAGAGAGGGACAGACACAGAGATGGAGAGAGAGGGAGAGATCCTTTCCTTCTTGCCTCGCTGCCTCCACTGGGCTTGCTGGGAACTCACAGGGATTCTGTGTGTGTGTGTGTGTGCCCAGAAACCTCACCCATACTGAGTTATGGGAAGGCATTCTGGGAAATGAAGTCCAGTATTCAAAGAAGGGACAAAAAGGCACGCTCTGTGAGTTAGCAAAGGCTGTCCAGGAAGGCAGAATCAAAACACTCCCAAAAGATGGCCATCCATTTTTACTTTATAGCAATCCTGGGCTATAATATATCTACAATAATAATAATATCTATATATCATCATAATAATATCTATCAATCTATAATAATATATATGTCTATGATATCTATATGTCTTTAACAATAACATCTACATTTCTATCATAATATCTATATGTCTGTAATAATATCTATATGCCTATAATAATATCTACAGGTCTATAATAATATCCATATGTCTATAATTATAATATCTGTCTGTCAAAAATATCTGTACATTTATAACAATAATACCTATATGCCTATAATATCTATGTCTATAATAATAATATCTATATAAAGTATAATAATATGTATACATCTATAATAATAATAGCTATATAATATCTATAAAAATAACAATAAAAATAATAACATCTATATGTCTATAATAATATCTATAGGTCTGTAATAATATCCATACATCTGTTGCCTGTTTTTGCTCGAAAGATATTGAGCCCTATGCTCCTTCTATTTTTAATCAGTTTTATACTAATTTATGCAATGCTTTTGATATGAAATTCATAAATAACATCTATAATACTAATACCTATATAGCTTTAATAATAATACTTGTATCTATAATAATAATATCTATTTGCCTATAATAATATCTGTATGTCTATAATGACAACAATACCTATATAAAATCTATGAACTGGGTTATATGGCAGCGTAGAGTCATGTAACCCAGGGCCCTTCCATATAACCCTTTGGCCTCGAGGAGACTGAAATGGGCCGGTATTAGGTTGGCACTTTGCCACTTCCGTTGTGTATTGATAGCTTAGAAACCAGCTCTTCCTCTTTTCTTTCTTTCCCATTTCTCCACAATGGGCCACAGCAACGCATGGCCGGATACAGCTAGTATAAGCATAATAGGTAAAGGCTTTCCCCTGACATTGAGTCCAGTCGTGTTCGACTCTGGGGTGTGAGGCTCATCTTCATTTGTAAGCCGAAGAGCTGGCGTTGTCCATAGACACCTCCAAGGTCATGTGTCCGACATGACTGCATGGAGCGCCGTATAAGCATAATACAAACAGGTAAAACCTAGGATGAGAGCCATGGGCTCCGGAGACACTCACGATTGTCATAGATCGGCTGCGAGATGACCAGGGGCAGTTGGACCAAGTGACCGCTGCCCGCGTCCCGGATCCACACCTGGAAGCAGAGCCGAACCGCATTCAGATCATAGTCTCCTTTTAGCTCCTCTGAAGATGCTGAAACAAAAGTGAAAGCCAGTTAAATCAAAGGAGGGGGAACAAAACCAAGAGTTAGAGCACTTGTGATGTTTAACGAAAACGTCTGGATGCCATTCATTCAGATGGCTGGAGCACAATGCAAGACAATATATAACTGGCACCACTGGATACAATGACACTTGAGCATCCACGGATTTTGGCATCCTAGAACCATACCCCAGCAGATACCAAGGCTCCACATCACACTTTAGGACAGTGGTTCTCAACCTGGGGGTCGCGATCCCTACAGGGGTCCATCTGCAATTTTCGAGAGGTCGTGCCACCGCCTCCCTGGCATGTCTGCCAAGTCCCCTCTGCCAGTAACAGCCAGCTGAGCCGCCTTTCCTTCTCCCACAGAGCACTGCCATTTTTGTTCCCCTCTTGAAGGAGCTGGGGGTGGTGACAGCCGACAAGGAGCTCTGGCGTGGGATGGTCCATGAAGTCACAAAGACTCGGAAATGACTGAACAAATATCAAACAGTGCTGGTTTCCATACCATTGAAAGGATTGTTGTTGGTTTCGATCCGCTTGGCCACTGCTTTGTCCAGGTCTCGTTTCCGCACGCATTGGATTCCCAGGTTCTGGAAACTGGATAAAAAAGGATTCAGAAATAAAGATCAGCGTGGAACAGTGGAAACAGGGGTCCTCAAACTAAGGCCCGGGGGCTGGATACGGCCCCCCAAGGTTGTTTACCCGGCCCTTGCTCAGGGTCAACCTAAGTCTGAAACGACTTGAAAGCACACAACAATAACATCAATCTTATCTCATCAGCCAAAAGGAAGTGCTGAACCTGACTCAGCACATAGAAGATGGCTTTGAAAGGCAGCAGATCACAGGAGCTGTCTTCATAGACCTGTCAGCGGCTTATGATACTGTAAACCACTGCCTCCTCCTAAGAAAAATGTATAATACTACAAAGGACGACCACCTCACCCGCCTCATAGGAAACCTGCTACAAAACAGGAGCTTTTTTGGTGAGTTCCAGGGCCAGAGAAGCAGATGGCGGAAACAGAAGAACGGCCTGCCTCAGGGGAGCGTGCTTGCTCCATCCATGTTCAACATCTACACAAATGACCAGCCACTGCCAGAAGGGACAGAGAGTTCATTTATGCTGATGATCGTGCCATCACCACTCAAGCAGGGAGCTTTGAGATGGTTGAACAGAAGCTCTCCGAAGCTCTAGGTGCTCTTACTGCCTATTACAGGGAAAACCAACTGATCCCTAATCCATCTAAAACACAGACATGTGCCTTTCACCTTAAGAACAGACAAGCATCCCGAGCTCTGAGGATCACCTGGGAAGGAATCCCACTGGAGCATTGCAGCACACCCAAATACCTGGGAGTCACTCTGGACCGTGCTCTGACCTACAAGAAGCACTGCCTGAACATCAAGCAAAAAGTGGGTGCTAGAAACAATATCATACGAAAGCTGACTGGCACAACCTGGGGATCACAACCAGACACAGTGAAGACATCTACCCTTGCGCTATGCTACTCTGCTGCTGAGTATGCATGCCCAGTGTGGAACACATCTCACCACGCTAAAACAGTGGATGTGGCTCTTAATGAGACATGCTGCATTATCACGGGGTGTCTGCGCCCTACACCACTGGAGAAATTACACTGCTTAGCCGGTATTGCACCACCTGACATCCGCCGGGAAGTAGCAGCCAATAGTGAAAGGACCAAGGCAGTGACATCTCCAGCTCATCCCCTGTTTGGGTATCAGCCAGTACGTCAACGACTGAAATCAAGAAATAATTTTCTTAGATCTAGAGAGACAATCGCTGGAACACCTCAGCAAGCGAGAGTCCAAAAGTGGCAGGCTCAAACCCAGAATCTCAACCAATGGCTGATACCAGATGAGAGACTCCCCCCTGGGCACACAGAAGACTGGGCGACTTGGAAGGCGCTGAACAGACTGCGCTCTGGCACCACGAGATGCAGAGCCAACCTCAAGAAATGGGGCCACAAAGTGGAATCCACGACATGCGAGTGTGGAGAAGAGCAAACCACAAACCACCTGCTGCAATGCACCCTGAGCCCTGCCACATGCACAATGGAGGACCTTCTTGCAGCAACACCAGAAGCACTCCAAGTGGCCAGATACTGGTCAAAGGACATTTAATCAACTACCAAGTTTGCAAAATTTGTGTGTTTTTTTAATCTGTTTGTTGGTTTTGTTCTGTTAGAAATGTAATACAATGGTCTGGTTGCTGATGACACGATAAATAAAAAATAGTCAAAAGCAGGTCCACACTTACCATTGAAATACTAATACGTTTATTTATTTATTTTATTTATATAGAAGACGGGTCAGATCTCTGCTAAGTCTCGGATCTGGATATATAAACTAAACTTTTGGTTAAAACGGATGCTTATGCCTAAAGGTTTGGCCCCATTGACCCTTCGTGATCCCTTCCAATCAAGGTGGGAAAAGTTAGTTGATGACAAAATCCTAAAACTTGGATTTTCACCAAATACCATCCTAATATGGGCTACACAAAAGCCAAAGAAAACGTATGTCAGCATATCTGGGACACTGAGCTGCAAAACTACCTAAATGCAGTCTCAGTTCTTCCAGTCTTCAAAGACAATGGAAGGGCGCTTCTTCCTGCAGAGTACTTAGGCAAACTAATTATCCCAAAACATAGGAAGGTGTTCTCTACTCACCTGTGGATGGAGCGTTCTGGGGAAAGCTCGGCTTCGTAGTAGCCCTCTTTGCAGTCTTTTCCCACTAAGTCGTGGGGATGGGGCCGGTATGGCGTCTCTTTGGTCACAAGCGAGATGCGGACTTTCCCTGGACCCACGTAGTTATGGATCTGGGAGGGAGAGAGGCAGGAATAATAATAATAATAATAATAATAATAATAATAATAATCCCTTATTTATACCCTGCTAACATCTCCCGAAGGACTCGGTGCGGCTTACAAGAGGCCGAGGCCAAATACATCAGCAAAACAACAATATAACAAATACAACAATAAATAAACTCATAAAACAAAGCAATAGCATTAAACGATAGCAATAAACATTAAACAATAACACCACAACGCAATTAAAAACTATGGCCGGGCCAAATGTAATGATTAAAAATTTAAAAAAATGCTGGACATGACCAGGTGAAATGGATGAGTTTGGCAATAGGTGCAGTGTGCAGACAATCTTAAATCTCTGGTAAAGTGCATCTGGGACATGATGCTTGGAGTTTCTTATTCTGGGAAGGCACACTGGAACAACCACGTCTTCAAGCTCTTCCTAAAGACTGCCAATGTTGGGGCTTGTCTGATGTCCTTGGGGAGAGAGTTCCAGAGTCAAGGGGCCACCAAAGAAAAGGCCCTGTCCCTCGTCCCCACCAATCGCGCTTGCGACGCAGGTGGGATCATGAGCAGGGCCTCTCCAGATGATCGAAGAGTTTGTGTGAGTCACGCAGGTAGGCGGGTCCCAAACCGTTTAGGGCTTTGTAGGTAAGCACCTGCACCTTGAATTGGGACTGGAAAATGAACGGCAGCCAATGGAGCTCCTTAAACAGGAGGGTTGACCTCTCTCTGTAAGGAGCACCAGTTAACAACCTGGCCACCGCCCGTTGGACCAGTTGGAATTTGGTCGTTTTCAAGGGCAGCCCTACGTAGAGTGCATTACAGTAGTCCAATCTGGAGGTGACTAAGGCATGGACTACCCTGGCCAGATCCGTCTTCACGAGTTACGGTTGCAGTTGGCGCATGAGTCTTAATTGTGCAAAGGCCCTCCCGGACACCGCCAACGCCTGAACTTCAAGCGTAAGTGATAAATCCGGGAGGACCCACAAACTGCGGACCTGTGACGTCAGGGGGAGTGTAACCCTGTCCAGCACAGGTTGTCACCCCATACCCCGATCTGGTTTACCATCGACCAGAAGGACCTCTGTCTTGTCAGGATTAATCTTTAGCTTGTTCATCCTCATCCAGACAGCCACAGCGGCAAGGCACTCGTCCAGCACTCGAGGGGCTTCCTTGGAGTTAGGTGGAAAGGAGTAGTAGAGTTGTGCGTCATCTGCAAAGAAATGGCACCCAACTCCAAAACTCCAGATGACCTCTCCCAGCGGTTTCATGTAGATGTACGAGAGCAGTACGTGTGAAAAAGATCTTGGAGTCCTCGTGGACAACAAGTTAAACATGAGCCAACAATGTGATGTGGCGGCAAAAAAAGCCAATGGGATTTTGGCCTGCATCAAGAGGAGCATAGTGTCTAGATCTAGGGAAGTCATGCTACCCATGCTCTATTCCGCTTTGGTTAGACCACACCTGGAATATTGTGTCCAATTCTGGGCACCACAATTCAAGAGAGATATTGACAAGCTGGAATGTGTCCAGAGGAGGGCGACTAAAATGATCAAAGGTCTGGAGAACAAGACTTATGAGGAGCGGCTTAAGGAGCTGGGCATGTTTAGCCTGAAGAAGAGAAGGCTGAGAGGAGATATGATAGCCATGTATAAATATGTGAGAGGAAGCCACAGGGAGGAGGGAGCAAGCTTGTTTTCTGCTTCCCTGGAGACTAGGACGCGGAACAATGGCTTCAAACTACAAGAGAGGAGATTCCATCTGAACATGAGGAAAAACTTCCTGACTGTGAGAGCCGTTCAGCAGTGGAACTCTCTGCCCCGGAGGTGGTGGAGGCTCCTTCTTTGGAAGCTTTTAAACAGAGGCTGGATGGCCCTCTGTCAGGGGTGATTTGAATGCAATATTCCTGCTTCTTGGCAGGGGGTTGGACTGGATGGCCCATGAGGTCTCTTCCAACTCGGATGACCTCTCCCAGCGGTTTCATGTAGATGTTGAAGAGCATGGGCGACAAGACAGAGCCTTGCGGGACCCCACAGGTCAAAGGCCAGGGGTCCGAGCAGGCGTCTCCCAGCTTCACCATCTGGGTACGTCCCTCCAGGAAGGACCGGAGCCACGACAAAACCGTGCCCCCAAGGCCCATCCCAGAGAGACAACCCAGAAGGATACCATGATCGATGGTATCGAAAGCCGCTGAGATGTCCAAGAGAACCAACAGAGTCACACTCCCCCTGTCCAGATCTCTACGGAGGTCATCCACCAAGGGGACTAAGGCTGTCTCAGTGCCGTGACCAAGTTTTTTATTCATTGTATCAGGAACAAACTGAGAGTACAGTTGTAATGTATTTTAAAGAATCATAGAATCAAAGAGTTGGAAGAGACCTCATGGCCATCCAGTCCAACCCCCTACCAAGAAGCAGGAATATTGCATTCAAAGCACCCCTGACAGATGGCCATCCAGTCTCTGTTTAAAAGCTTCCAAAGAAGGAGCCTCCACCACACTCGGGGCAGAGAGTTCCACTGCTGAATGGCTCTCACAGTCAGGAAGTTCTTCCTAATATTCAAATGGAATCTCCTCTCTTGTAGTTTGAAGCCATTGTTCCGTGTCCTAGTCTCCAGGGAAGCAGAAAACAAGCTTGCTCCCTCCTCCCTGTGGCTTCCTCTCACATATTTATACATGGCTATCATATCTCCTCTCAGCCTTCTCTTCTTCAGGCTAAACATGCCCAGCTCCCTAAGCCGCTCCTCATAGGGCTTGTTCTCCAGACCCTTGATCATTTTAGTCGCCCTCCTCTGGACACATTCCAGCTTGTCAATATCTCTCTTGAATTGTGGTGCCAGAATTGGACACAATATTCCAGGTGTGGTCTAACCAAAGCAGAATAGAGCATGGGGAGCATGACTTCCCTAGATCTAGACACTAGGCTCCTATGGATGCAGGCCAAAATCCCATTGGCTTTTTTTGCAGCCACATCACATTGTTGGCTCATGTTTAACTTGTTGTCCACGAGGACTCCAAGATCTTTTTCACATATATACAGTATATACAGTAAATAAATATTGGATGATACCTGATGGTAACAGCCAATACCCCAAGATGTTTCTGGAGGATTCTAGGAGTGATGACTGACAGGTAATGATTCTTTTTTGGAGGGGAGAGGGGAATACATTCTCTGCAAATGCTGACCTTGATGGTAGGGTGGGTCTTGGTCGTCTCGGTGCTTCGTTCTCCAGGAATGGAACCCGCCAAGCGCCCCTCGCACTGGTAGCGGAACCGCATTCCCCGCTGCTTGGGCTGCTCCATTATCTCCACAAAAGGAGTGCTACTGGGAGCAGGGTCTTCAGAGAAGGGGACAAGGAAGAAAAAGGTAAAGGACAAAGAGGATACATCAGAATCCGTAAAATAATCTCATCCCATTACTGTGTTATTTTGAGGGCAGAAGCATTACAGATGCAGTGTACATTCTTAACTGGTGATTCACTCTGTTTACTTTGGACACGGAACAGATTTAGATTTTTTTTGTTTTCTCCACTTGCTCAAATCCTTTTAAACGTAGCTGAGATGCAACAAGTGGATTTTTTTTCTGAAAAGTAAAGAAAGGGGCCCTTTGCCAAGTTTCAGTTTGAGAAAGGCAAGGAAGCAATGTCGCAATTCCCTGACCCCCACTTCTGTCTCTTAGGAAGGCTTTGTTGCTGTTAGTCCTCGGAGAAGCAATTGCTCCACGCTGTCTGGAAGCTGGGAATTTCCCCCAAGTGTGAAGAAATATTTATTTAGTATTATTTATATGCCGCCCTTCTCACACTGAAGGGGACTCAGAGCGGCTTACAAGATATATATACATACAGTATTATTAGCATAGCACCATATCAGTATTATATATTACTATATTGTCCTATACCATTATATTGTATTATTATTAGTAAAATTACATGATAAAATGGAAAATGTAGGCAAAAGTCATTTTGTTTTGTTGAAGGCTTTCAACAAATCCAACAAACGCTATGTTCAGCAAAGGACAAGAGGGGATCCTCTCACCCCTGCAAGAGTCTACTGTACACTATGCAGCTTTGGACAAGTCTACATAGGGACCACCTATGTAAAACACGGATCAAGGAACATGAAAGGCACTGCAGACTACTTCAACCAGAGAAGTCAGCCATAGCAGAGCACCTGATGAACCAGCCTGGACACAGCATATTATTTGAGAACACAGAAATGATGGACCACACCAACAACCACCATATCAGACTACACAGAGAAGCCATTGAAATCCACAAGCATGTGGACAATTTCAACAGAAAGGAAGAGACCATGAAAATGAACAAAATCTGGCTACCAGTATTAAAAAACTCTAAAATTACAACAGCAAAACAACAGAGATGAAACAATCAAGGACATCTAATCACCTCTCAATAAAAGATTACCAGGACATCAAATGCTAATCATGGTGGTCAGTTGAAACATTCACACCTAGCTCCAACAGACAGGAGTTCTTTGTCCCACCCTGGTCATTCCACAGATATATAAACCCATTTCCTAATTCCAACAGACCTCACTACCTCTGAGGATGCTTGCCATAGATGCAGGCGAAACGTCAGGAGTAATGCCTCTAGAACATGGCTCTATAGCCCGAAAAAACCCACAAGAACCTTGTAATGTAATATATATATAATTACAATAATGTATTATTATTAGTATTATTATTGTACTACATTATAATATTATACATGTTAGATATATATATGTATGTGTGTGTGTGTGTGCAATATACTATATTATTAGCATACATACAGTATTATTAGCATAGCACCATATCAGTATTATATATTACTGTATTGCACTACACCATTATACAGCAATATTATTAGTAATACTAGCTGTCCCCTGCCATGCATTGCTGTGGCCCACTCTGGTGGTCACGGGAGTCCTGTGTGGGAGGTTTGGCCCAATTCTATCGTTGGTGGGGTTCAGAATGCTCTGTGATTGTAGGTGAACTATAAATCCCAGCAACTACAACTCCCAAATGTCAAGATTCTATTTTCCCCAAACTCCACCAGTGTTCACATTTGGGCATATTGAGTATTCGTGTAGAGTTTAGTCCAGATCCATCATTGTTTGAGTCCACAGTGATCTCTGGATGTAGGTGAACTACAACTCCAAAACCAAAGGACACTGCCCACCAAACCCTTCCAGTATTTTCTGTTGGTCATGGGAGAACTGTGTGCCAAGTTTGGTTCAATTCCATCGTTGGTGGGGTTCAGAATGCTCTTTGATTGTAGGTGAACTATAAATCCCAGCAACTACAACTCCCAAAAGACAAAATCAATTTTTTTGAGTGAAGGACATACATTGGGTTGTTAGGTGTCTTGTGTCCAAATTTGGTGTCAATTCGTCCAGTGGTTTTTGAGTTCTGTTAATCCCACAAACGAACATTACATTTTTATTTATATAGATATAGATCGGGACTCAGAGCAGCTTACAAGATATATATACATACAGTATTATTAGCATAGCACCATATCAGTATTATATATTACTATATTGCACCACACCATTATACTGTAATATTATTAGGAATATTACATGTAATCTATATAAATAAAAATGTAATGTTCGTTTGTGGGATTAACAGAACTCAAAAACCAGGAAGGAGGGAAGGAACAAAAGAGAGAAAGAGGGAAGGAAGGAAAGAGACAAGAAAGGATGAAACCAAAGAGCAAAGGAAGCGAGAAAAGAAACAGGTAGAGAAGGAAGGAAGAAGAAGAGAAAGAAAAAGAGCGAAGGAAGGAAAGAGGTAGGGAAGGAAGGAGTGAAAGAAAGGAGGAGAAAGGGAGGGAAGGTTTACCACAGCAACGCGTGGCGGGTACAGCTAGTCTATATAAATAAAAATTTAATGTTCGTTTGTGCTATTCACAGAACTCAAAAAACACTGGACGAATTGACACCAAATTTGGACACAAGACACCTAACAACCCAATGTATGTCCTTCACTCAAAAAATTGATTTTGTCATTTGGGAGTTGTAGTTGCTGGGATTTATAGTTCACCTACAATCAAAGAGCATTCTGAACCCCACCAACGATGGAATTGAACCAAACTTGGCACACAGTTCTCCCATGACCAACAGAAAATACTGGAAGGGTTTGGTGGGCAGTGTCCTTTGGTTTTGGAGTTGTAGTTCACCTACATCCAGAGATCAATGTGGACTCAAACAATGATGGATCTGGACCAAACTCTACACGAATACTCAATATGCCCAAATGTGAACACTGGTGGAGTTTGGGGAAAATAGAATCTTGACATTTGGGAGTTGTAGTTGCTGGAATTTATAGTTCACCTACAATCACAGAGCATTCTGAACCCCACCAACGATAGAACTGGGCCAAACCTCTCAAACAGAACTCCCATGTGGGCCACAGCAATGAGTGGCAGGGACGGCTAGTATAATATATATAATTACAATATTGTATTATTATTATTATTATTATTATTATTATTATATTGCATTACATTATAATATTATACATACTATATGTATATGTATATGTATATTATATTATTAGCATAGCACAGGAGACAAGGTGCAACTGGAACACACACACACATACATATATTGGGATTTTTGCTGGGATGGACCCCAACTGAAGGGGCCCAGAGCAGCTTACTATATATATATATATATATACACACACACACACACACACACACACACATACAGTATTATTAGCACAGCACAATATCAATATTATATATTACTATATTGCACTATACCATTATACTGTAATATTATTAGTAATATTACATGTAATATAATATATAATTACAATATTGTACTATTATTATTATTATATTGCATTACATTATAATATTATACATATTATATGTATAAAAACCAGTGGTTTTTGAGTTATGTCAATCCCACAAACGAACGTTGCATTTTTATTTATATAGATTGCACTATACCATTATATTGTAATATTATTAGTAATATTACACGTAATGTAAATATATAGTTATAATATTGTATTATTATTACTAGTATCATATTGTATTACACACACACATACCACATCCATGGATCCTACCAACTGTGCTTTGAAAGCAATTTGGGGGGAAAACAACAACGCCAATTGTACCTTGATTTTGCCATTTGTAGTGCTCAAATTAGGGGGAATTGAAGGGTGTAACTTACCCCAGTTCTGTTGAAAAATCAATGGGAGGAGATCTGGAGAGAGAGAGAGAGAAAAAACAACAGCATTAGCATTTCTAGTAAACAGAAACTTCGAAAGCTTGCATTATGAACTTCACTTGGAATGTTCTACATAGAAAGGAAATACTCTACCAATGGGATACGGTCCTTACTCCAGTCTTCATGGTACCGAATGTAAGACTGATTTAAACAACACACATACCTGTCAAACCCAGTCTCTCCAGACTTGGTTTAGCACTAATTGCATTATATATGCCCTCTACCCTATAAATCAATCTATATAAATAAAATGTAATGTTCGTTTGTGGTAGTCACAGAAATCAAAAACCCCTGGATGAATTGGCACCAAATTTGGACATGATACACTTAACAACCCAATGTATGTTCTCCACTCAAAAAACCCACAAAAACAAAAAGCAGAAAGGACTTCCACTTCTGAACTACATGTCCACAAAAGAGAAACTCCATGTCTACAAAGAGACCCATGGCCACGCCCCCTCCGCCTCGCGGGGAAACAGCCGGCCATTAAAGCTTGAGGAGCCAGGCGCGTGTGCATGCCCCCCCCCCCACACACAAGCGAGAGTGGGCACTATGGGAGTGGAGGGGGAGGCTTGCCGCATGGAGCCCCTTCTCTTTCCCTGCTCTGCCAGGAGGGCGGTCTCCTCCTCCTCCACCTTTCCCTGTTGGAAGAGGCCGGCGGGTGGGGGAGGGACTTTCTGTAGACCCTTCTTTCTTTTTTTAACTCTTTCCTTTCTGTCTGACCTGCTCGCCTGTCTCCGGCAACACGAGCACACATTTAACACACACACACACACAGGAGGTAGCTGCCTCTGCCACACTCCACCCGAAAGGACTCCCTTCCCTTCTTTCCTCCCTCCCTTTCTTTCCTTTTCTTCCTTCCTTCCCCTTCCTTTCCTTCCCCCCTCCTTCCTTCCTGTCCCCTCCTCCTTCCTTCCTTTCTTTCCTTCCTTCCTTCCTTCCTTCCTCTTTCTTCTTTCAATGTAAGATATAAATACAATATTTTATATATATATTGTGTGTGTGTGTGTGTGTATTTATTTATCGTGTCATCAGCAACCATTGTATTACAATTCTAACAGAGCAAAACAAACACACAGAATAAAAAGAAAAAGAAAAAAACACAGATTTTGCAAATTTGGTACTTGGGTTAAATGTGTGTGTGTGTGTATGTGTATATATATATATCAAATTAAATTGAAGGCACAGTCAAGAAGTAACAAGGGAAACAGGGAAGGAATGAAGGAGGGAAAGAGGGAAGGAAGGAGACAAGGAGGGAGGCAAAGAAGAAAGGAAGAAAGAAAGAAAGAAAGAAAGAGAAGCAAGAAAGGAGAGAAAGAAATAAAAAAGTGAAAGGAAAAAGAGAGGGAAAGGAGAGAAGGAACGAAAGACAAGGAAGGAAGGAAGGAAGGAAGGAAGGAAGGAAGGAAGGAAGGAAGGAAGGAAGGATGCAACTAAAGAGCAAAGAAAGGGGGAAAGAAACAGGTAGAGATGGAAGAAAGAAGAGAAATAGGAAGGGAAAGAAATAGAGGAAAGGAAGGAAAGAGAGAAGGAAGGAAAGAAAGAGGGAGGGAAGTTTGGCCACAGCAACGCGTGGCGGGTACAGCTAGTAATAATAATAATCATCATCATCATCTTAGGACCACGGCAAGTGCTTCTCCTGGGCACCTGTTGACAAGGAACCAGGACCCACTGCTGGGCAACCAGGGCATGGGCCTGTAGGACAACTGGAAGCAAAACAACTACAGAAAACAACTACCAGAAGGTGTTGCTGGGGGACTCCTGCTCGGCCCCGCAGCCATTGTCTTGTGGGGTCCCGCAGGGCTCAGTATTGTCCCCCATGTTGTTTAACATATACATGAAGCTGCTGGGTGAGATCATCCGGAGTTTTGGAGTTCCATGCCACCTGTACGCAGATGACGTCCAACTCTATCACTCATTTCCACCAGATGCTAAGGAGGCTGTCCAAGTCCTGGCCGCTCAAGCAAATTGAAGTTGAATCCGGACAAGACAGAGGTTCGCCAGGACGAACAAGGTATAGGGTCACAACCTATGCTGGATGGGGTTACACTCCGCTTGAAGGCCCAGGTTCGCAGCTTGGGAGTCTCCTGGATTCATCACTGAGCTTGGAATCCCAGGTTGCAGCGATGTCCTGTACCTTGGGAAACTTGTCTGCCAGCTGCGCCTGTACCTTGGGAAGTCAGACTTGGCCACGGTAGTCCACGCTCTCGTTACATCTAGCATAGACTACTGCAATGCACTCTACGTGGGGTTGCCTTTGAAGACTGCTCGGAAGCTTCAAATAGTACGAGAGGCAGCCAGGTTAATAACTGGGGCGGCATACAGGGAGCATACAACTCCCATGTTACGCCAGCTCCACTGGCTGCCAGTTTGCAACCGGGCACAATTCAAAGTGCTGGCCCTAAACGGCCCCGGCCAAAATTACCTGTCCGAACGCATCTCCCCTATGAACCACCACAGAGATTAAGATCCTCCGGGGAGGCCCTGCTTTCCGTCCCGCCATTGTCACAGGCGATCGGTGGGGACAAGAGACAGGGCCTTCTCGGTGATTGCTCCCCGGCTATGGAACTCCCTTCCTGGTGAGATCAGGTCGGCCCCCTCTCTCCTGTCCTTTAGAAGGATGGTCAAAACTTGGCTGTGGGGACAGGGCAATAAAGCAGCAATAGGAAAGATGACCAGGCCAATTAGACTTGACGTAGATAACTAGGACGGTTTTAAATGGTGCATTTTAATATTTTGATAAATGTTTTTAATGTTTATGTATGTATATAAGAATTTGTGTCCCGGCATTGAATATATGCTGTGCTCTGCTCTGAGTCCCCTTCGGGGTGAGAAGGGCGAAATATATATGTTTTAAATAAATAAATAATAACTACTGCAAAGACTCTGGCACAAGCCAGTCAAGGTGATCTCAGTGGTGATTGGCACACTGGGTGCAGTCCCTAAAGACCTTGGCATGTACTTAAACACAATCGGTGCTAACAAAATTACCATCCGCCAGCCTTAAAAGGCCATCCTAATAGGATCTGCATGCATTATTTGCCAATACATCACATAGACCTAGACACTTGGGAAGTGTCCGACGTGTGATCCAAAACGACGAGCAGAGTGATCTTATGTACTAATCTTCTTATGTTTCAAATAATAATCTTTATTTATATTCTGCCCTATCTCCCCTCAGGGACTCAGGGCAGATTCCAACAAACAAAAAGGCAAACATTAAGTGCCTAAAATAACAGTAAATACAAATACAATAACCCAAAATAACCCCAAATAAAGAGCAACTTAAACATAACAACTATAATTAAAATAAAGCATAAGTAAAGGTAAAGTTTTTCCCCTGATATTAAGTCTAGTTGTGTCCGACTCTAGGGGTTGGTGCTCTTCTCCATTTCTAAGCCGAAGAGCTGGCATTGTCCGTAGACACCTCCAAGGTCATGTGGCCTGCATGACTGCATGGAGCACCATTACCTTCCTGCCAGAGTGGTACCTATTGATCTACTCACATTTGCATGTTTTCGAACTGCTAGACTGGCAGAAGCTGGGGCTAATAACAGGAGCTCACCAGATTCGAACTGCTGATGTTTCGGTCAGCAAGTTCAGCAGCTCAGCAGTTTAACTCGCTGTGCCAATGGGGGGTTCCTTAAATAAAACATAATGAATTGAAAATTATAACTAACTGGAGTGGTACCCATTGATCTATTTGCATGTTTTCGAACTGCTAGATTGGCAGAAGCTGGGGCTAATAGAGGGAGCTCACCAGATTTGAACTGCTGACTTTTTGGTCTGCAAGTTCAGCAGCACAGCGGTTCAAACCGCTGCACCACTGGGGGCTCCTTAAATAAAACATAATGAATTGAAAATTATAACTAACTGGAGTGGTACCTATTGATCTACTCACATTTGCGTGTTTTTGAACTGCTAAATTGGCAGAAGCTGGGGCTAATAACAGGAGCTCACCAGATTCGAACTGCTGACTTTTTGGTCAGCAAGTTCAGCAGCTCAGCGGTTTAATCCACTGTGCCAAAGGCGGCTCCTTAAATAAAACATAATCAATTGAAAATTATAACTAACATGGAACTTGAATATAAGACATCTGAATTAATATATCAAAACAACCATATATCACAAAAATCTTCAAGCTGGCAAGCGACATTCCAGTTAGGTTTTCGAAGAAGGGACGGTTATTACCAAGGTGACAACAACGCAAGAAGCACAACACAATTCGGGACCTTTCACATGAGAGTTTTTGAGAACAAAGAGGCACAAAAAAGTTCACTTTCGACCCTCAAAAGAGGAAGTGTGGGAGACACACACTTCCACAGACCGAATGGTGGCCGCTTGTATTTCTATAGATTTCGGAACATGGCCTTATGAAAGGAAAAATTCAGAGAGGGATGTCAAAGGCTTGGCAAACAGGGCTTCTCTGGCTATCTGGCAATTATTATTTTCCTCCCAATGTACTAAAAAAAAAGGTGCCATATGTGCTATTCTAATAATATAATATAATGTAATATAATATGATATATTGTATATACATATAATATACAATATATGTTTTATTGTATTTTAAAGTTCATTGTATTGTTCTAATCTACTGCTGTAAACTGCTCCGAGCCAAATTGGAAATATAAATAAATAAATAATACTAATAATATGATAATTCTATATTTATATTACATGTAATATTACTAGTAACATTACAATATAATAGTATAGTACAATATAGTAATATTTAATACTGGTATTGTAGTATGCTAATAATATAATATATTGTATGTATATATACTTTGTAAGCTGAGTCCCCTTCGGGGTGAGAAGGGCAGCATAGAAACGTCGTAAATAAATAAATACATATTTTTAGCCACTGGGCCTAAATGTTCTGAGAATCAGATTGGTATAAGAATGGGCCTCATTTTGGTATCACTACCAAGCATCCTAAACAATATCATACGAAAGCTGACTGGCACAACCTG